TAATATTGTCAGCACGTTCAAATAACTAAATCAGCTTATTAGATTTGTTTCTAAATCCAATTAGCATTTTAATGCCAATTGGAGCCGTTTTTAAAACGCGCTACTTCTTTTTTGTTTGCGGTTCACTCGCCCGCAATTCGACTGCGACAGCAACAACAATTGTGGCTGTCGTCTACTCCTTTTCCTTTTCGCAAAACAAAATGGATTGCTCTTTAACTAAAACAGTTAACAGGGGCTCAGCAATGGCGGCAAACACTTACAGCGTTGCCGCCCGACGAGAACACGGCAAACATATGACTGCACCTATATGGTTGTCTCGCTCGCACTGCCCACACGCAGCTCGTCGCTTTTGGCATTCACAGTTGCTCAACGAAATCGCCCGATGTGAATCAAATGCGCATTTTACGCCTGCTGCTCGCTGCTGTGCGCCTGCTGAAAAATTCACAAAACCGCTACGAATATAACGCATTCACACTATTCACTCACTCGCTCGCTCGTGTACTCGTAGCCGTACACGTACTCGCACTCGTACTCGCACTCGCTTGTAGCCATACTCTGTCGAGTACGCATACACTGTGAGTGGGTACACAATAGCGGATGACCCTCTCATGTAAGCCAAATAGTTCAGTTATTAATCGGGTTTGCTTATGGGTTTTATTATGGGCTTGTTGTTGGTTTGAATGAGTGCTTAAACTAAATGCATATTTTATGGATACATTCAATACTTATACAATATTCATACATACATACGCATAGATATGCACATAAATATTGCGTTTACCAATTAGACTTTTTTGAGTACACTCGATATTCCAATTAGACTGTATGAATACAGATTGGTAACTAACGTACAGTGGGCAAAATCTATTGCTGTATAATGTTTAATTTATTTATTACATTTTAAACATGGCATATAACAGTTGTACATGTTTAGTATTCGTTTTTGACTCATCTCAAACTTATTCAAAAGTATTTGTGCAGTTAAGCTTTTTAGTGTCCAGTTGGTGGAGCAACTCCAAGTAACTCCAGAGCCAACCGTTTCCGTCGCTAGTGTTGAGCAACACCCAAATGAATGGGTCCATTCGTGTTGGTCTCGTACAGTGAATACTTGGCCAATTCACTTGAGTTTGTCGGCTGCCACAGCATTCAAATTGGGCACAAGTTTGGTACGTTGTGCACTTTGCTGTGGTTGCCGATTTTGCTTTCGAATGGGGATGTTGTAAAAAATGTTTGAACTGTTTTAAGTTTAAGTTTTAACGGTAACAGTGACGCAGAAATGAGCAGCAGGCTGCTGAGCAAAAAACGCCAACCACTGTGAATGCGAGTGCCTTGTTTGAGTGTATATGTTTCTGTATGCGGTTACCTTGACAATGAAATAAGCTTGCACACACACACTCAAACGCATATATGCCTACGCACACAGACAAATGGCGAATCAGAGAGCTCGTGTGCAAGTTCATTAACTCTTTAACATGCGCCGGTTGAGGTGAATTAGACGTAGTTGTTCTCGCGCGTGTTGAAGAGAGAGCGAGAGAGTGAGAGAGGGTTGTGTGGTGGTATTTGGCGTTTGCTTTTGTGTGTGCGTTTCGGTTTTTTGGTTACCTCAAATGCTAATTAGTTGCCCTTGAAGGAGAGAGGGAGAGGGAGAGGGAGAGAGAGAGAGAGCGATAACCCGCTCAAATGTTTGCTTAGCCGCCCGTTTGTTTCCCCTCCATAGCTGTTGTTGTTCTTCTTCTTTTGCACTGATCACAAGCTGTTTGGCATTTGTTGTTGCTGTTGCTGCTGTCAAATGTGTTTCAAAGTCAATGTCGTGTGTGCGAGAGGGAGAGCGAGCGCGAGCAGAACGAGCTGACCCAACCCCAATCAAACAGAATCACCTTGTTGCTTGTGTGCGTGCGATTTGCCTCAATCGCCCCCTGTCCGTGTGTGCCGACTGTTGCCCGTGTGTTGTGTTGTTATGTGTGTTGTGTGCTTTTTTATCATCTAAGTGGCTGTGGCCTGCTCTGCCTGCTGCCTGCTCTGCCTGCTGCTCCCGTCATCATTTAGAACAAAATGTATATGGGGCGGGCACAGCGCACACGGAGCTTATAGTATGTATCATCATCATTGGCGTCGTCGTTGGCGTCGGCGTCGCTGCCGGCAAACGGGCAGCGCACGCCCTACAAATTTGCTGTTCGCCTATTCGAAAATTTCACTAAAAATTGTTTACTCTCTCGCTTGGCATGAAATGAAAGTGTCCTTTGGCCCCCAATGTACGCGTCGAGCGTGTTGTGTTCAGCTCTCTTACCCCTACTCAATGTTCCAAACTTTTAACGGCGACGCTGCCCCAATATATGTATGTGTGTGTGTGTGTGTGTGTGTGTGCGAGGGGGCGGGTGTGTTCCACCTGCCAAGCAGATGGGATGTCGATGTCATTTGGGGAAAGAATTCGGCAGTGCAATTTGCGAAACTACAGAGGCGCGCGTGCAAAGGATTTCTGTACTGTAAACTTTAGATGTACGTGGCATCAGGTTGTAGAGGACTTTCTGGCTTAGTCCTTGAGCAAAATATTTCAATATATTTGATCACATCTTGAGTGTAAAATGGTATAGTTAGTCTCCTGTTTAAAAAAAAAATTATTTATTAAATTAGCTACTCAGCTAAATAAGCTTAAAATCGGAGGGACTTGAACTTTTGGAAAATAATCAATCGCTAAATATACATATATTCTTAGGACAATAATCATAAATTAATTATAACATGAGCTTCTCAGCTAAATGAGCTTAAGATCGGAGGGACTTGAACTTTTTCAAAATTATGATCGATAGCTAAATATATTCTTAGGGCAATTAAACAACGAGGTTCTTTGGATAATAAGCCCTAGGGCAGAGGGTATACGTTGTCTTAAAGACCAGGGAATAATTTGGGTATACTTTTTAATAAAAAAGTGGCTAAACAACCAATAACCCATGGCTTATAGTATTCTATTTGATGATTATAAATATTTATTTTATATAAAAAAAAAACTAAATTCTATCTCTAAGATTCAGACCAAAGATATTTGCCACTCTATTTCCAAATCGAGAGATTTATTGTATACATATTACAGCTAAGTATTCATGTACCTTTCAGGGATTACCCGGGATGTTTACAGGTGCGCCACTGTTCCATCCAAATCGCAGTCCGAGGTGACATAACGAGACAAGTGAAACATTCAGTTTGCAGCGGCGCACAGTTGGGAGGGGCAACGCGTTTGTTGCTATCGCATGTTGTTTGCACTCGGTTAAGCTTTTCGGCATTGCTGTGCGCCTGTTCCGGTAGTCAAGACTTCCCCATGTCGACGTGTGTGCGCGCGCTGTGCCTTTGTTGGATTAAATGTGGCTCCAATGTGTAGCTGCACCCCCCCCCCCCCCCTCCTATATTTGTCAGTCAGCCTTGAGAAGGTCTTTGGCGGAGAAACAAACGTCAGCCCGTGGGCTGGGTCGAAGGGGCAGCCCCCGTTGAATGTTCCCCAATTGCGCGTTCCCCACACGCTGACGGCGCTCTTCTGCCTATGTTTTCTGTTAGCCCGCGCTGTTAGTAGCCATCTTTTTCGATTTTTTGCTCAATCACAGATGGCTGGCAAAATGGAATTCGCGGTTATGCCTGGGGCGCACATAGAGCGCGGAGGGGGGGGGGGGGTTTACTCATGGAGCACTCTATTCATCTGCCACCCTGTTTGTCTATCGTTGTGTGTGTCTGTGCGTGTGTGTGTGTGTGTGTCACTGTGCGCTGTACAACTTCTGTTTTCCTGGTGTAATTAAGCAAACGAAATATAATAATAATAAATTATAATTTTAGAAGGCGTGCCACAAAACGTTTAAACCCCAAAACCGTAACTCAAACCAATTTTTTAAATGTAGCTCCATATAAAATATTATTTTATTTATGGGCACAACCAAAAACACACACACACACACACACACACAAACACACAGACGCACACGTGAACTTTGGGGCTATTATTATGCGATTATTTCGTTTGTATGTTTAAAATATAAACGAACAGGCTTCAAGAAATGCCATGCGACAACAAATTGTACATACACAGAGGAAAACAAAAATCCATTACATACGCTTTCGCCATAAAATTATATGTAATTCGAAAGTTGCCGCCTTTTGTTATGTTAATTTTACAGCGATCCCTCGCAAATGTTATTTTGCATGTGCATGTGTGTGTGTGTGCCGTGTCTCTCTCTCTCTTTCTCTCTCTCTGTGTAATGTGGCAACTCCAAACTAAACTCGCGCCCAGCTTCAGCCGCACTGCAGAGGCCCAGCTCCCAGCTCCCAGCTCCAACTCCAGCTTCAGCTCCAGCTCCAACTCTAGCCGCATCTATCCACCTGGCTGGGCGTAAAGTTGCGGCCAGTCTTTTGCTATTTCTATGAAAACTTGGTAGCTGCTGCGTTCGTTTCTAACGATTTTCTATGTTAACGCCAAATTTGAATGGCGAATGCGCCGCTGCCGCTGTCGCTCGCCATTCGTGTTAAATCTGTGAAAAATGTACGTTCCGCGAACTTTGCGTCATGCGATGTTAATTCAATAGGCGCACAGCATTGCCCGACCGCTGCCTGAGACGTAACGTCAATGGCCGAGACTGGTGTGCGAGCGGGATGGCGATGTGGGGAAGGTCGTCCAACTTGCTTAGCGTACGTCTGTCTGTTGCTGGTGTGTGTGTGTGTGTGTGTGCCTGGCATGCCTGTATCTGTTATCTGTTATCCGTCTGCTTGTGAGCGAAGCAGTGTGACCGTTTATGTGCCTGCCCGCCTCTGTGTGTGTGTGTCTGTGTGTTTGTGCTTGTGTTGTTTGTTTTGGGGCCAATGTACTCAGAGTTGAGTGCATTGCACTCTGTGCTGTGCTGGCGCCCTGCTTTGTGCCAGCGAGCATTTTGCAGCGGGTGTATGTATTTATTTGGCTGATGTGCACACACTTTTGCAGGTTATGTTCGCCTAACAGTGTTTATATTCTTTTTTTTCGATTGTAATTTTTTTATTTGTTTTGTTGATGCTATTTTATTATTATTATTAATATTAAGTTAAATTAGATTATCAAATTAAAAAGCAGTTGTGGCGATCTGGCAGCACAGGAACTGATACATTTTTAAGTTTTTTCTCTTTGATAAGTTTGCTTAAACTAATTTTGAGTTTCACCATATTGCAAAAAAGCACGTACAACCTCCTTCTATCTCGATCTCTCTAACCTTCAGCTTATACGCATCTACATAAATATTAACTCTTTTTGGTATATAAGAAATAAAGCACTATTGCTAAATCGAGATATTTTTCTTGTGTTAACGGATGTAGAATTTGACCATTAAGTTCCATCCAAAATACCAAACAGTAAAAATAGGATCTCGCATCGAAATACATAAATACATAAATTTTAAAAAGAGTCTTCTAAAAAAAAAAGAATCCAAATCCCATTCATCAATTCTGCATGATGATTCTAAAAAGATCATGTTCAAAACGTGCCATATCCATTGAAGCGTCGTATGCCCTCGAAACTCATCCAGAATACCAAAAACCAGGGACCGCAGCGTATCCAATATGGCATAAAGCCCTTATAAATGGCCATTGCTCCCTCCTCCTTCACCAATTGTTGTATGCAATCTATGCTGTTCTTATAGCGCAAAGGTCTGCCCTGATCGTCGACAGGCTGATTCATGATGCGCGACTTGACCACATCCGCGGGCGAGCTGAGCGCCGAGCAGAAAAATCCCGCCACCATGGCGGCCAGGAATTGCACCAGTAAATTATCCTCGCTATTCAAAAGTTTCCGGATATTGCGCTTGCCCAAATCATAGAAGCTGATGCCGCCTGATGGAAAGAAGTCAATTAAATGGCAAGTGGATGGAGAAGCAGAGGCATCTTGTTACCAAGGGAAAAGAGGGAGGCACGCATTATGTTCGGCCCGAGGCCGCGATACAAGCTGCGCAGTCCGCCCTGGGTATAGATGAATCGCAGCGCCTGCAGGATGTCGGTGGAACGTGGCGGCATTCCCAACAACGTGCGCTTGCTCTCCATCTGCATTTGCAGCTTGACCAGATCGAGTGGATTGCTGGCGATCGTGGATATGGCGCCGGATACCAGACCCGCCAGCATTGTGCAGGGAAAGCTGATGGTCACCTTGTCGTCCGTTCGGACGGACCATTTTGTCCGCAGATAGTCATAGGAGCCGATCTTGATGCCGGACACAAACGTATGTCGCAGCACAAGCGCCGAGAAGCCGCTGTATAGCTTCAGGAAACCCTCCTCCTTGATCACGCCCAGCGCCGTGCCGAAGAGTCCACGATACTTGACCACATTGGCGTACGGATTGCTGTGCTCGCCCTGAATTTGCAGACGCGTCTTGGTCACATCCAATGGATACACAAACAAATCCGCATTGACAGCCGACAGAAATGAGGTTATAAAGATCTCCACAAGCCGCGATCCTTCGTAGTCTACGTTTCGAACCGCGATCGCATTGTGCCCCTCCAGCGGCCATCTATCCGGCTTACTCATTATATCCGCAGTATATATTATAAAAAACTGACTTTCAATTTAATTAAACAAATAAATATTTTGGAAATTCAATTTAAAATATTGACAAATTTAAAAGCCAGAACATTTTGATTTAAATAATCATGCTGATCCGACTATCCGAGCCTAACATAAATTTTCTCTTTCCTGGAAAAGTTTTTTCATATAATTATAATTATATATTTTTATGAAACATGATTAATTATGATTATAAAAGTTTATATAAGTTTTTGCATCCAGACTTTGGTTCAAATCTTTGTGGATTGTAGATTCAAAATATTTTGAAAAGTCGAATTTTTAATTGCCATCTGCCCGTTGTACTGAAAATATATCAAGCTCTATATATTTTCATATACAAGTTGCGGGCTATATTTTCTTGATCTTGATCTTTGCCCAAAATTGGCATCTACCAAATATGGTTGGATAAAGTCAATAATAGGGGTTAAAGTCATTCAAACTTTAAGGTTTCACTTAAGATATTCTGAAAATATTTAAAAGATAGATATTGGATACGTTCTTTTTAATTTCTAACATATTTCGTAAATATCTTTAAAATGGAAGATTCATGAAAGTGTTAACTCAGTAGATCTCTCGATTGGCAGCTATGTATCTGATAATATTTTATAACCCCGACTATAACATATATAGAAAAACAAAGCTGAGCTTGAAAGGCAGACTCATACATATATATATATAAATATATATGTATGGTTGGCGTGAACAATTTGAATACCCTCGAAAGCATTTCAAGAGTATTCCACCTGCTCTCCATTCGAATCGGGTGCCATAGAATTTCCCCTTTACATGTACGTAGATCTCTTTGGTGCTCCGGTACGTTATTATCTTGGGTGCAGAGCGTTGCCAGCTGCGCGAAAGTCGGCGCTCAGCCAATTCTGTTGTCGTCGTTGTTGTTGCTGTGCAATTAAGTAAGTGTAGTTGTAAGCGAGTACTTGCTCGTAGGTACTTGCTAAATATGTGAACTTATGGGCACCGCCCATCGATTGCATGCACCTTCCCTCGCGCGCCGCGCTCCCCTCGCTCGGCGCCGTGCACTTCGCTCCGCTACGAGGCGCAATTACGACGTCGCTTCGTTGCAATCTCTTCTATGTGCGCGTAGCTGCAGCTATCGCTGCCTCTCCCACTCCCTCTCCCTCTCCTTCTCTGACTATCTCAAGCTCTATATATATGTGTGTGTGTGTGTGTGTTGGTGTGTGTTGGTGTGTGCTGTGTGCCGCTGCAGCTCCTCCGCCAAGCTGTTTGCGTGGAAAACTGTATGCGCCGCCGCCCCCCGCTGCGCACATTTGAAAAATGCATCTCTGTTGCGCAGGGGGTGGGGGGGGGGCGGCTGTCTGGTGGCATCTGTTGCCGAGAGCCTATGGAGCCTCGTTTGACTGCTTGGAAAAACTCATGTCTATTGTCTATTAGATGGCCAACGTCGCCTAGGCCGTACAGAGAGCGCAGACAGCATAGACCAACGACCGACCAACTGGTTCGTCTATTGCTCGTTTCTGCTAAAAAGAAAAATCCTGTCCACGCTTTCCCCCAAAATCCAGTAGGAGGCGGCATTGGGCAGCAGCAGCAGCAGCAGCGAGCTGGTCTAGGAGCCAGCCCTTCCATGAATAGTGCCTGCAAAAGGTATGCGCTTAAGTCAACTTCATACACTCACACCAGCGCACGCGTACCGATGAAAAATGGTTGAAAAAAGTTTGAAAAAAAAACGTTGTATGATTTTTCTTCGCCAATATTTTGTAACAGAGCCGCAGCATTGAGCAAAAGACGGCACCGACATTTGTAACAAAAATGCACGCAGCGAGCAGAGAGCAAATGCACACATACACACACTCAGAAACCTGCACACACACACACAGACGCGCGCGCGTGCATCAACAAAACACAGTTTTGTTTCTTTTTTCTCATTTCTTACTATGGCCCCTCCAGCGGTTCCCCTGCTCAATGCACATGGGCCAACAGTTGCTGCTGCTGTTGTTGTTGTTTTTGTTTTTGTTGCTGCACTCGCCTTGTCGCCGCTAAGCCAATTGGGAGGCACGCTTGCTTCTCTGTATGTGTGTGTGTGTGTGTTTGTTTTTGTTTGTGCATTGCAGCTTTTTACGTTTTTCGTGAGCGAGCGAGCGAGCGAGAACAGTTAAAGAGAGATATAGAGAGATATGCATGTATATGCAATTGAACATTGCTAGCGCTACAGTGTCTCAAAATCTCAACAAGTTGTTGTATGTGAATAATAATGAATGAATCAACTTTATTGCATGTTTGTGCTTATTATTGACAAACACTTCTCATCAGGATTCGCTATAAAACATTTATAGATTGATAACTGTCCCACACTAATAATAAAGTTAATAAAATTGAGTTTCATGTGGTTAAATACCGTTTCGCTGGTTACAAATAGAATTGTGCCACTGTGCTCGAGCAATTGCATTCTCCTTTACTCATACTCACACGCACATACACATATGCACTGACTGCTGCATTTGAGCAGAGCAGGAGAGGGAGATGCATATTAAGATAATAGTGGGGCCGGCAATGCACTTTTTGGATTTTGGACACATCGACGCTGCATCTCGCTGCTCGCTCCAACTACCCCCAGCACACATACAACGAAAGAGACGTAGGCATTGACAGCGGCGTGCAGCAAACTGAGCACGGTGACGTCGCAGCCCCCAACGTGAGATGTTCATGTTGAATGCCTTTTGAGTGCACAATTCACAGTCCGGACAGCGATGTTGCCCGCCAGGCGGGCGCACCTGCCCCGCCCAAGTCTCACTCTCTCATTCTCTCTGGCACGCACACATGTAAGCGAATACAAAAATCGTTTTTAGCCGTTTGCTTTAATACCCTGTAGCCGTATAGTGTAGTAGGTGGTGTTCCGAGCTCTGTTGGTAACAAACAAAAGGATGCATTCTAAATTATACACACAATAAAATCCTTATTAGCATTAAAAGATGAGCTGGTCCAAAAAAGAGCTTGTTACCTGAATATACCACACGTATATTATAAGAAAAAAAGTTTAACAGGATTCCACAGCTATCTTAAGTACAGGTACTGGGTATCTTTTGGTCGAACACACTCAATTGCAGCCAACACACTTGTTGCTTTTGCCAAAAGTGCAACGCGGCTACAAGTTCTGGGCTCCTTTTCCCAATGTAACACAACCATGCACCATGCGAGCGACGATTGCCCCAGGGCTGCCATTAGCATTACGACAACGATTACGTGGATGTGGATATGGTAAACGGCGCTTTACAGTTTTACAGCAAGCACGTGAACGTCCTCGGAACGAACCGTGGCGTAAAACACAACCAACAGCATTTGGGTCCATTACACGTTTCAGCACCAGCTGAATTTGGCGTGATGGTGGAGGGAGGGAGGGGGTGGGGTGGGATGTGGACCTAGCAGCTTTTTACGGCCGTGCTCCTGCTATGGTGCTGCGTCATCGTCGGCGTCGTCGTCGCCAGCTGCGTGCACAAAAGTAACAAAATGTACTGAATGTCAACAGGCTCACAGCAGCGAGCAGAGCGTCGATTTTACATTACAATCGCTGTACAATCGACGCTCGGTCTCTGTACACGCTCATTGCGCGCTCGTTTGCCTTCCTGCCTCCAACCACGCCTCTCGCCTACTCCTCGCGCTTCACTGTGTGCGCTCTGTTTGCGTCTGTCTGTCTATGTGTGTGTGTGTGTGTGCGTGTGTGTGTGTGTTTGTTTGTATTCGCCGCGTTACTTGCGCGCGTGCTCCCCACTCCACCCAACCGCACACACAGATAAGTAATAACGGCTCCACTCTCCACTGACGCAGTTTTTTTTTTGTCTTCTCGTTATGTACTTTTTGTTCTTTCATCGCAGCGCCCCTTTTAGCGGGGCCTTTGCTCTCATTTGCTTTATCACTCATGACGTTGTTTTAAAGCCTTTGCTCATCGCTTAAATGTTCGTGTGTGTGTGTGTGTGAGCACACCAACACACACACTTATGTAGAAATGCACTCAACTGAGTCGCAAAATTGCAAATGCATTGTACAGTCTTGCAGTCAGTCGACGTTTGGACGTCAGCGAAGCAGCTTGGGGCCGCATGTAATTAAGCAAATGCATACAAATTAACCGTTATTAACTGCATTTTATATACAGTTTAAGCTCTGTTTAAGGACAGATTGGGCCAACTCATTTCGCCGTATATTTTTTTGTTCCGTTATTTTTTTACTGATTGGGAATTATAATTATTTGATGTGAGAATGGGTCCGTTTTTTATGATTATTTTTTTAATTACAACAAATTTGGCATGGGAATTTCTGAGTATTATTTGCTAAGCATCCAAGTTAAGGTTCTATTCTTGTATATTCTTCAAAGAACTGACTTCGTTCTCTCTTAAATGCTCATACTATATCCACATCATATATGTTTTTTTAGAAACCTTTGAATTGTAAGAGTTTTTGGAAAAATTGTCATCGATTGGAATAAAAAGTCGTATGTTATATGATATAATATAATTTATTTTTGTGATCTATAAATATCAATCTTTTAAATGCCTGTTGAATGATACTTTTTATTCGCTTGGGCTAACATTTAGTTAAATACTTAACTGGGCAAAAGTTGTATATGTATATACTATATATATGTATATAGTTGAAAACTGTAGGTAAGTGTTGCACATGATATGTTGCTGATATGTAAGAGACATACGTAGAGGTATTTTGCCTCGAAAGAACTTAGCCTAGAGATATGTATAGATTTGCACTGATATGCATCGTTTGTCGGGACTTACAGATCTAGGTATTACGATTTAGCTAGAATTCTGCTAAAATACTTATGCCAAAGTGTGCGATCGACTTGATATGCCTGGTTGTGGTTGGGTTTGTTGGGTTTTTTCCCTTAACCCTTAACTACTTATCACAGTTCAACAAAGTGCCTGGGAATGGAACCCGGCGCTCCTCTAGAACTCGTTGGCCTTGGATGGCGGGCCGATGGAGGCGGCGCAGGCCTCCTTGAAATTGGTCGCGTTCAGTGGCGCGAAATAGTCCTCGTGCAGGAACCGGATAATGTTCTCGATCGGACAGAGATCGGCCTTGTTGCCGCGACTGTCGCGCGTCACCCGCAGGCTTTTGCCGCCCTCGCAGAAGTCGATCTGCTGGGTGACATCGCGTCCATTGTGCACGACACGGAAATAGTAATCCGTGTGGGCCTCGCTGCGATAGACCTCGAAGGCCAGCCGGGAGGCATAGGCAATGGTCTGGCCGTGGTCCGTGATGATGCCCAAGGCAGCGGTCAGATATTGCATGGTGCAATCGTGGCCAGAGTAGAGCACAAACTTGGTCCGATCCCCGGATATCATCTTGAGCATGTAGCCCACAATGTGCCTGATCATGCCGTAGGCGCGGAGCAGTCCCGACCGCTTGTAGTAGACATGTCGAGCGGTGCGCAGCGACAGTTCGTCGGCAAAGGACATGAGCGCATCCACGTGGGATGCCTCCACGCAGCCGCCAGCCGCCGCCTCCAGCTGCTCCTCTTCCGCCGGCTCCAGCGGTGGCAAGCCCTCCTGCATCAAATTGGCCGCCGTCTCATCCTGATCAATGTTGATGACATCCACCAGTTCCGGATTGTGGGCGCGCGTGCTCACCGCCTGGCTGACATTGCGCCGGCGACAGGGCAGGGCGGCATCGTGGCAGAGCACAGTCAGCATGGCATCGACCACCTCGAAGGGATTCGTAACGCCGCCCTCAGTCGCCGTATGCTGCAGCAGCGTGCCGCCGATCCACTGCATCACGGCGAGCACGTCGGCGCGGCGCAGCAGCCGGCGTTCGGCCAGCTGCATCAAGCGCTTGCGCAGCACCAGCGTCTGGGCGCAGCTGCAGTCGCCGAAGCAGAAGGCCATGCTGTGCGATTCGCGCACATTCAGCGCCAGCCACTTGTCCGCCGGCAGCAGGGCGAAGAGCAGCGCCAGCGCCGACTGAAAGGTGCGTCGATATCGCGTCGTAAACACAACCACCTCGTCCGAGTTGAGCAGCGTGTGCGGCGTTGTGTCCACGGATCCGCGCAGTGCATTCGGCTTCAGCAGCAGCCCCAACGGATGCGCATAGATCTGGTGCATGATGTCGCCCACGTGCAGCAATTGGGCAATCCCTCTGCGAAGGGGAAATCGGAAATTGGAAGTGCGAGTGAAAGGGGTCTATATATAGATTTATATCTAAATATGAAAGTATTTGTCCTGGTTGATGGATTGATTGATTGACTGAGTGACTGATTTGCTGATTGATTGACTGCCTGATTGATGCACTGGTTGGCCGACTGATTGATCGACTGATTGATTGACAGAGTAAAATTGATTGATTGACTGAGTGACTGATTTGCTGATTGATTGACTGCCTGATTGATTGTTTGACAGATTTTCTGATTGGCCAACTGACCGCCCGGTTGGCTGGCTGACTGATTGATTGACTGACAGTGACTGATTGGCTGGCTGGCTGACTGACTGATTGTCGGGCCAACTGATTGATAGACTGGCGGTTTAAGTGACTGATGGGTTGACAAAAGGACTGATTGACAGCCTGATTGATTGATTGACAGAGTGATTAATTGGCTGGCTGACCGACTGATTGACTGGCTAACTGATTATCTGAATTATAGAGTGACTGATGCGCTGGCTGTCCGACTGGTTGATCGACTGATTGATTGACATAGTAACTGATTGGCTGGCTGACCCACTGAATGATCGACTGCTAGATTGGCAGAGTGACTGATTAGCTGACTGATCGACGGGCCAACTGATTGATAGACTGACTGGTTAAGAGGCTGATGGATTGACAAAGTGAATAATTTGCTGACTGACTATTTGATTGGTTAACTGCTTAATTGATCGATTGAAGGACTGACTGATTGATTAACAACCTAGTTGATTGACCAAATGATTGAATGACTGATTGATTGGCGATTCTATCGTAACTTTTGTCTCATTTAACTTAACATTTGTTAAGCTGTCAAATGCCACACGACTTACTTGTAGGTTAGCTGGCCCAGTGGACAGCCGCGCTCCGTGGCAGGGAGCAGCGGAAAGCCATGAAATGGTCCCACCTTGCTCCAGTACATGTGATTCGATCCCGAAGCGGAGCTGCTGGAGTTGTGCAGAAAGCTTCGATATCTGCCGGCATACAATGGAGGTAAGCAGGCAGCAACAGCAGGAGCAGACATTAGCCACATGTGGCCACTCACCTGTTGACCAGGCTGTCGCCATCGGCGGGCACACCACAATTGATGCCATTGGCATGTACGTGGGACATGGCGCCGCGATCCCCGTGCCGTATGACCAGGAGCACACCCTGCAGCTTCCAGCCCTCCAGTATGCCGCCATCGTCCATGCGCGTCAACTGTGACAGCGATGCGCAGCGTTCCCGGTATTTGGCAAAACGCTGTGCGCTGGAGGTGTCAATAGAACCAACACCACCGCCAGAGCTGGCGGTGCCTGTGCCAGGACCATAGCCACCGCCGCCGCTGCCCGGACTGCTATTGTGCTCAAAGTTTCCCATGTAGCGATACATGCCTGTCGAGAAAGAACCTTGGGTGAGCACTCGTGAGCTGGCCAGGATTGGGCAGTAACTTACCCGCTATCAGTAGGAAGATCCATATGCTGAGAAACATGTAGCAATAGAAGGTGCGATGCTGCGTGGTTAAACGCGTCAGCTCCTTGAGCAGCAGCTTCATGATTCCCGCGACTCCGAGCAGTGGCGGCGACCACACATAAATGTGTGTTTGTAGTCCTGTTTAAATATCCTGATATTCTACCGGGGCACACTGGAGGGCTCTGCAGTCCGTTGTTACCTGGAAATGCCTATGAATCCACAACTTGCTGCCAATTGTGTGCAATCAGCCTGAGAAAACAAAAAAAAGCAACCACGTTTGGCAACTGTTACGTGGAGCGTAACCCATTGAGGAGCATGCGCAGTGGCCAAGCGATGCCAAACAGCTGTTGGTGGAGCGTCTGGGTTCAGTTCTCATGCGTTCTTTAATCACAAAACATAAAACATTCGAAATACATTCAAGTGCGGGTTAAATATGAGTATAATGATAGTTTTGGGTTAATGGCCAGAAGCGTTTCGAACGTGGCCTTACAAATATATAAATAAGAGTGTGTGTGTAGATCAGAGATCATATAATAGATATATATGTATATATATATATTTTAGATGGTTAGGTGGGCTGGCACTTTGGCTCTCTATTCTTGCGTGGCAGCCAGAGCCAGCACGGTAAAGCGCACATCGTCGGGATCGCGTGCCATGAAGTCCTTGCACACCTTGGCAGCGTCTAGCAAAAAGGTCTCGTCCGAGGTCTTGCCATGACTGATTGGGTACGACTTGCGTCCATCTAGCTCGTATAGTGTATTCTCCTTGTTGACCAGTGCAATGAAATGATGGACAACGGTTTCATAGGCACCCGCATCGGTTTGTCCCTCCTGGGCCAGCATTTGATGGTCTTCGGTAAAGGCGTTGTCCTGCTCTAGAGCCTGGCCGCGTTCCTCGGGCGATAGATTAGCGCCCTTCTCCAAGAAATTCTTCAAAACGCCGGCGGCTATTTCGATGCTGTCGATTATATTTATAGATGAGCGCATATATTATGGATTTAGGTATAATGAAACGCTTACTCCTTATTATTGGCCACACTGTGGATGAGGGCAACGGTGCCGCAGGCGTTGTGGGTGAATTGTTTCATATAAAAGAGATCTTTCGGATATTTTTCCGGCTCAGCTGCAGCCTTAATGCGCTCGTGCTCGTCAGCGCGATGTTTTTCATACTGCAAGCACACACACACCCACACAAATACACATTAGAAAAATGAAAATGAAATGCGAAAGCGTTGGACCTACAGCTTCGCTAATGGGGAAGAGCAGGATGAGGGCCTTCACAGGACGCGGCAGCATTGCCAGCAGTTCTTCGTCCAGGCCGATGACGTCAGTCACAGACCAGGCCGACGACACGCCCAGCTTATGTATGTATTTGGTCAGCACCTGGAATGGGACACGGACATCATGGCGTCTTTTTTAATATGCCAATTGGAAGTCAAATCGAATTTTGCCAAGCAACAGCAACAATAAATTACAAGCCTTTTTTCAAATATTGTTTACTGTTACAAGATTAGATAAGATAAACACTTACCTCCGGGTTGGATTCCAATGGTGTCCAGATCGACATTTTTAAAAAAATTAATTTACTTGCAGTGCTTTTCGACAAACTTCGACCGAATGTATTTTACAAATGTCTGACAATGATTACCGGCACTTTTTTGACACTTGGAGTAAATGTGTGTGTGTGCTATCGTTTGACCGCCGATTAGTATCGATAATCGGAGTAGTCTCTAGCACGAACACTGCATGGAACCATTTTGCAGCTGCTATCTTCGATTTTGGGAACCAGAATCAAATATTCATTTATGCATTTGTTTATTATTTTAAGCACAAATCCAAAGAGTTACCCCTTATTTTGTTGTTTAACATTGAAAATTGACATTGGAAACTGAAGGAATTGCTATACTGGCAGCTTTTTCAAGTTCAAATTTGATATTTACCGCCAATTGATCATTTTAATAGAGGTGAGCGATAACTAAGAATATTCTATAAAATCGGTAATCGGTAGCTGTCAGCTGTTTGAATTGCTTTTGACTTCTCGTTTGTGTTTTGGTTTTTGGCAAAGTTTAGGACATGTATACATTTTTTTTAAAATACAGGATAAATTTAATAATAATCTAGAGCTAACGACGATAATGGAATTGTTAAACACTTCTTTAACGCCAGTGCGCTGTAAGTTTTCAAATTCACCAGCCGAGCAAGGGTTTTATTTGTCTTTGTTTTATTAAGTTGTTGACAGCCAGCGTGTGCAATCTCCAGTTAAACACGATGCGAATTTGGCCACCTGCAAGGCTCGCCTGGAAGCCTTAGTTGCTGATCTTCAAAGTAATTATGCCAAATGGCAAATAGCTCAACAACGCGGCACCGCGCTGTGCTACGCCATCGAAGCCAGAAAGACGCGTTGTTATGACAATGCGAATGCCGAGACCGGCTTTTATCCGGAAGATCTGCACAAGCCCTGCGATAAGTTGGCCATTATTACATCGATTTTTGTTGATATCTTCACAAACACCCGCGAGATTCTGCGTCAATTGCGTGCCTTAACCCTGCTCGCGGGCGTTGCCTCGAATGTGATCTTTTACCGTACCTGGAAGTTAACGCAATTTGTATCCTTCACCGAGGACCTATTAAAGCGATACAAACAGGAGTCGCTGGTGAAACAGCAAGTAATGAGTAGGTTGCATGAAAATCGCTCTGACAATATAAGCCCCATAACTTGTAATTGAACACCAACAGGCAACATAGCGCACAGCACTTGCAGAGGCAAGCTAATCGCGCATACCACAGCCTGGGAGTTCCCCGAACATGTGGATGCCTATGTGAACTTGGTGTTTTTGCTACTCGCCGAGGAGGTCAGACGAAAGTGAGTCTCGATTCTTGATTGAAACCGCAGATAAACCTGCTTTAAATATATTTTTGTAAATTTTAAATGTTATGTTAAATTTTGTATTAAAGATTTCAACTTTATGCTTAAACCTATTCGAGTTTTAGTTAAATAACATTACACTTTTTGTGCCTTAAGAGTCTTCTCTAATACTAAAGGGTTACAAAGATTTTAACTATGAGATTTCAGAGTGATTTTTGTTAAGTGCATGCTTGTGAAAGGAAGCATATATAGTGGAAATGTTTTTGTTTTTTCAAATGGAATGTGCTTATAGTCTAGTAATTTGAAGCGCAGAATTTTCTGCAAATAAAAAAAATAGTAAACAATGTCAAGGAATGTTTTAGATTTTAACTGAAATATTCTCAAGAGTTGGACTGTTGCTGCGCTTGGACCACCACCAAAACCAAGCACAAGCCGTGCCCAGTGCAATGGCCGTGTAGTACAATCTCTTTACATTTCGCTGCAAGGGAAAGAATATTAATAATAATAAAATATGCTTTGTTCGTAATTGGACAGCACCTCTTTTGCCGGCGTGGAACTGCCTTCCTCCCTCTTTCGATTGGCATCGCTGGCTAGCTGTTCCAGCTTACGCAAATCCTCGCTGAGCTCGTCCGAGATCGATTGCACGCTGTTAAGGGCCTCCAGCGCGAAGCGACTGGCATAGCGTTTGTCGCCCACAACCACGTCCTCGGGCGGTAGCACCTGCAGCTTGTAATTGGTGGCCGCCAGGGAGGAGCGCAGGTACATAATATGATTGGATGCATTGGCAATAATCTGATTGTTGTAGCTCTGCGCTGCGTTTTGGTTGCAAATGTATTCATAGCTGGGATCTTGGTTGGGCAACAGTGCAAACATTTTAAGGAATTTACTGCGTTCCTTTTGCGCTGCAAATCCGAACAGCTCCAGATCTTCGTCCGTAAGTGAAGCCAAGTCGCGGTAACTAATGTTCTCCTCCAGCAATTTGTCGACATTGTCTTTCGATGTGGACAGCAGAGCCGTTATGGCTTCGCGCTCCCTGTGCGGATTTGGCTTCGCCTTTGCCTGCATCCACGGGCGTCTCTCATAGCCGAGAAATGCGCTGTCCAATTCTTGCTGCTCCGTGTGTGTGTGGAAGTTCTTGCTGGCACCAAACTGCACCGCAGGCGGTACATTCATTGATAACAATGGCACATTATCCGCGGACATATTGTTTAAATTATTTGATTTTCCTTAAGCCGAATGGCAAATTGTTGCTATTTAAACCTATAAATATATCGATATGTAAATAGTATCGATGTGTTGCCGAACTATCGTTTTAGTGTTTACCGCAATGCCAGTTTTGTTATTGCAGAGCGAAAGAGATAGCGATTTAACTATTTTCTTCCACACATATCCTTATTTTATTTCAAAATTAGTATTTCTATAACATTGCATATAACAACTTATTTACAAATGATCTAGTCTAGTTATCTTTTTTATCGGCATTTGCTGCTTGCCTGTAAATTGGAGTACTGGTTGTTGCCGCTTCCTGAAGTTTTTGCATGAACAGAGCTTTCTTTTTATCGTCGGCATTGTATTGACCTGGCGAACTGGATGCTTTAATGCGCTGAATCTTCTCTGCACTGGGTTCTGTCAGCAGCATTAAAGCATATCCAATACCACCGAAGCCAACCAGCCATAGCACGGATTTGACATAAGGATTGCTAGCCATTGTTAATTACTCTTCAAATGTTAGTCTTTCTTCTGGAATTGTGCCGTTGCGGAGCTCCAGTAACTAGCGTCTATGTCGCGCACCTTGCTATCGCCCACAATCTCTCCAATTTTATAATAATACTCAAGTGCGAAGGGATATTTTTCGTTGATGTACCGGCGAAAATCTTCGGTTGAGAAACGTAAACGTTCGTTCGGTGGAAAGCTTATATAAAACACATAGTGACACTCACCTTGGTCTGTGTTCATGCGGTAGTAGAGACCGTAGCTAGCAGCGAAACAGACGGCTTCCAGCACGAATAGTGTCTTGGCGCTACCCTTGATAAATCTCCAAATAGCAGGTTTAGGCGTCTTCGGCAACATCACAAACTAAAACAAATGTAAAAACAAACGTGTATATTAAAAACACAAGAACAACAATTGCTTACGAAGTAACAAGCATGCCTGATGCAATAGTATCGATACACCAAATTCAATGTTTAAGGCATCGATATATCAACAGGTTATAAGCGTAAGAAGGTTTCGTCGCAAACTAATAAAAAAGTTGAATTGGTAAGATTACTAGAGATCAGTTGTTATGATGAATGTATTGTTATATAGAAATATTTAACCATAAAAAAAATTTGTTCATATTCAAGCTTACAAACCACTTATTAAATAAATAAATTTGTGAATGGCGGCAGAGTAGAAATAATAATGACGTAGATGAGCAAATCGAAAACTAATGCAGCTGTCGTCATCTAATTTCGATAACTCTTGTGCTATCAATATCGGCTGCAATACGTAACAAGCCACAAAAAAATAAAATCTGAACGTGCCGCTTTCAACGCAATCGCAGCAGAAGCAGCGGCCTACAAAATAAAAGGCAGCGTGCCGTCTCAGAGCTATATAAATAGGAAGCTACAGCGCAGTTGCCACAAACGTGCACGAGCCGAGCAAGTGACAACAACAGCGTGATTTTCAAACACAACCACAACTTCAACAAGAAAACAAACCCAAATACCGGTACTTTGAAGAACTGTAAACAAGAACAGCCTAAAACTTGAACTCAAAAAAAAAGAAAAAAAAAATCAAAATGCAGTCTATGACAAGACAGACGCTGCGGGCAATGCCGCAGATGGGCAAACAAGGTGCGTGTGTGTGGGTGTTTAAAGTGTTATCCGAAACCAATTAAATTGTTATATTTCTTAAATATATATTCCTTTAAACAGTGAGCTATCTATCTACGAGCAGCGTCTGGCAGTCCGCAGCCGGTGAAATTAAGGAGCCAAAAACACCCTCCGAAAAATTGATGGCCTTTCAAAAGAAATTGCGCGCTAAGACGCCGCTGGGCAAATTGGATGAGTTCTCGCGTCATCCGTACCAGGAGAAGGAGCCACTCAAGCCCTGGCCGAACCAAACAAATCCGTACACAGGCGAAATTGGCGGACCCGCTGGACCGGAGCCAACACGCTACGGCGACTGGGAGCGCAAGGGTCGCGTCTCTGATTTCTAGTCCAGCACAAATCTGTGCCTTAGTACGTAGTTAGGTTCTTATTCAAATGTTTAGATTTAAGATTACAAAAAAACAAAAAACCAAAACAAATTGTATACTCGACGCATAATTATTAAAATGCAAAATGTAGAAATAGGTATTAAAAAACAATCTTATTTAAAACAAAACTATGAATTCAGCTTGTTGTCGGCTCCATTAGCTCAAGGATTAGGCGCTCGCTGAGCGCCCACAATTGCTGCTGCAGTGCTGGACTCTTGGACAGCTTGCTGGGCTCGCAGAAGTAGCAGTTATTGAAGTACAGACCCGACAGGCCAGTCAACTCGTTCGCCGTGGCGCAGTAGATGCTCGTGGCGGCTGCTTGTTGCTGCGGTTAATAAAAAATAACAAAAAAGTGTCCAGTGAAAGTCATCAGCAGGCTAAAACTGGATGGCATCTACTCACCAGGGATTTGGTGAAGGGTCGCACAATGGCAAACAGCAGTCGATAAAACCAATAATTACGCGACAGCTGCGTCGAAACCATATTGCCAGGATGCACGGAGAATACAGAAATACCGCGTTGCCGCCAGCGCTGCAAGAGTTCGGATATTTTTGGAAAATTGGGTCACTCTTGTGACACATTAAGTATAAATATGCCGAGCTTGACTCACCTGTGCCAGCTCCTGGGCAAACAAGACATTGCACAGTTTGGCATTGTTGTAGGCCATCATGCTCCAATATTTCTCTGCTGGCGGGGATAAGTGCTGCAGCGTTAGATTCTCCACGGGCAGATTGGCAAATCTGTAAGTTATGCAGGCGAGGGATGGGAGGGGGGGGGGGGTCATGGGAGGCATGAAATTCAAGTTTAATTTAAGACGCAGTTGCTGTTTGTTGTATGCGGTCCCTTTTTTTTTTGCATATTTGTTTTGTTCTTGCTGTACATAACAGGCTGACTACATATTTATGCGTACAGTGAAAGCTCTCTCCAACGAGCCGCATTCTTTTCGCCAACTTTCTCGTTTAAGGCGCCCTCTGTTGGACGTTCACCCTATCCACTACCCTTCAGTTTATTTTTGTACAAAAAACAGCTGTACAAATAGTCCCGGAATAAAGATGAAAAAAGTGAACTCCAGAAGGAATCTTTTGTAAATTCCTATACTTTTATTTATTAAAGGAGTAAAGAAAGACTGAAACTACGGTTGCTCGCTTCAAGCGAGCTTTCACTGTATGTGTATACAATGTAGCATCATCCAGTCGAACCCAATCTGGACTTTGCACCCACCGGCCGGACGCAAACGAGTCTTGATTGGCTTTGTCGTTCTTGTTTTTGTTGTTGTTGTTGTTGTTGTTTTGTGTGTGCGGCGGCGTTCAGTGCTCGTTAATGAGATGCAAGACTCAAACCATGAACAAAAAAAGTTCAGGCCATGCCTGTGACTAAGGCGCCTACATGCCGCAACAATAAACTGCGCCCTAGAACAATGACAACGAACCTGATTGTATAAAAACAATGCACAGTGTAATATTTTACGCTTTACATTTACACACAACGAGAAATTGTAGCGCATGCGCAGGTCGTAAATGCCGAAAATTTTGAACGTTACAAATCGAAGCGCGCAATTTTATGGACTTTGAATTTGTTTTTATATTATTGCCGTCCTAGTTGAAACAAATGGGTACATATCTAGCTATATATACATATGTATGTATACTGTTGCAAAAAATATGCAAAATAGTTTTATCTGTTTTATTTTTATTTGTCCAACGCATGATAAATGATGAAACCGTCTAAATACTGCGTCTGCACAATGCATATCTTCTATTTGTATTTTATCTAATTATTATTCATTTTGATTTCTCTTTAGATAGCATTATCATTTGTTTCTCATAACAATTATTTTAATTAATTTAAATTCATTTCCCATGCATGAAATAAGAAGAAGAAGCGAACATAACGTCCTCCATGCAACGGCCGCCTATCAAATATTGCTTGGAGTTCTGACCCCAATAGAAACTCAGCGTCATTCATCAAACAGACATTTTTGGTCGCATAAGTCAGCGTATATATGTATGTGTGTTCATGTATACATACATATGTGTTTGAACGTGTGCGATTGTTGGCATACATGACTTTTAGTGTGTACACGATTTGGCGCACGCGACTGTTGCTGCATGCTTCCACGAGATACAGATACAACAAAGCAGAGCTATGAGATGTTGTACGTGCTGGAAACAACGAACGCAGAAGTAGCAAGAGCAATACAGCTGCAAAAACCACCTCCAACATTAAACAACTTCACTTCAATTACGTTTTATGCCTCCTTTCGTCGCTTCACGCAAGTTGCGTTGATCTGTGTGTGCGTGTGTGTGTGTGTGTAGCACAGTGCGGCTAGATGGTGATCTATAAGAACAAACAGTTGGCCATCTGTTAAATTTAGCCTGTGTACCACTGTGCTTGTGCGCAGCACGTGAATTGAATGTATGTGTGTGCCTTGAGCTGATATCGCAACGCGTATGTGTGTGTATGCATGCACACAAACATGTAAACAAACTTCAGTGCCCGCTGTAGTGATCGCTTGCATTTGCCTAAACTCAACAATTTAAAACACCGAAACTACATAACAGGTAACTATAAAGTAAAAACCAATAGGTTAATTACCAATATGCAGAAATTAAGCTACTTTAAACACATTACAAAAGTATGCACATACAAAAAGTACCAGTCGCATTTCTATTGGTCAGGCACATTTGTGACGTATGTAGTTATTATATCAATGTGTGCGTTGGGTGCGCAGTAAATATGTAAACAAATATAATCTCAATACGGAGTTCAATTGCGTTTCGCCTCGAAGTCGAGATTAAACAAAATTTCCAACAAACACAAACCTAAATAAATGCTGCAAGGTCACAATTTGAAGAGCTAGCAGAGGCTTAAAGCATCAAGCAGACCTTGTGGTATATTATTTAAGGTTGATGTTTGGAAGTTAGAAATCGTATTAAGAAACAACTATCATATTATTATTAAAAATAAATATTTTTAAATAACCTCTTCCCATTGCTAAATATATACCCAAACTAGACTATCGTTTTACAAGTATGTATTTCGGACTGTACGCATTGCGCCTATTTATAGTTTAGTCACAATTGCATCGACGCCAACGCAAAGAAAACACAGACGTGCGCCGGACCAAAGTCCAAGCGATAAGTGCAATAAACTTGCTTAAAAGAAATAATGCCAAATGCAGTCGGATTATAAGCTACAGTGGCAGACAATATAATATACCTGGTGACATACTCGTTAAGAGCCGCTTAAAATTCAAATACAGTGACAGTTCTAAACATAGACCTAGTGCCACATACTGCTGTTACAATACGAATACAGTGGCGGCCGTTAAAATATACCTGGTGCCATATTCATTTATACAACGGCTAATTGGACAATTCAAAATTTTGCAATAAATATACCCTTGCTTGGCTGTGCTTACCTATGCGATTCAGAGGAGAGCACCACAATACGCGTCCTGTGATCAAACAGCGTCTCCAATTGCAGCGTTAGATAGAAATGGGATAAATGCGATACTTGGAATGTTGTCTCGAGTCCATCTACAGTTTTGGTGTGGGGCAAAGCAAAGACGCCGGCATTCAGTATGAGATAGTCAATGTGGCTGCAAAATTAGAGAAGTTAATCAATTAAGATCATCGTCAAACATTAAACAGCCGATGACACGCACCTAAAGCTCTGCTTGATCTGCTCTACAAACTTCTGCACGTTGCGCAGTGAACCCAAATCCAAGGCGAATGTGCGACACCTGGCACGTGCTGCTGGTCGCTCCAGTGCAATCCTTTCAATGGCCTCCGCGGCCGATGCCAGATTACGGCAGGCAAAGATAATTTCACAGCCGTGCAGAGCCAGTGAACGCGCCGTTTCATAGCCAATGCCACAGTTGGCACCAGTTATGAGCGCCACACGGCCATGCAAATCCTTGCCATGCAACACCTGCAGCGCTGTGCTGCAAGAATCAAAGCGCTGACGCACTTTCGCCACATTTAACGTGGGCTCCTCAACGGCAAATGCCAGTCGTGGATCAATGTTGGTGCGCTGTTTCGTTTCCTTGTTGTGGAACATGAAACGTTTGCTTTGTTCATCGTAGTACTTCTCCCAGCCCAGGGGCAGCTCGCCGGTAATCCGTTTGGAACGCCCAGTTCGCGGATGAGTCCATTGTGAGGTTTTACTCTGTTGACTGCAACGGGATGGTTTTTATGTGTCTCTTGAAGCTGGAGATTCGGGTACATACTTGACATAGCAAACAACGCCATCGTCGGTGGCACGCTCCTCCCAGCCTGGCGGCAGCTCGTCCTCAGAATCAGAGTCCGGTAGTGACATCATTTTGATTTTATTACGGGCAATATAACAAAGCTGGGGTCAATTTGTTCTTAGCCTTTTAAGATATAAACTAATATCAGCTGTTGATCAGGGCTGGCTGTTAGATAGGTTGCCATTCACTGTGCTTGCAAATGTTATCGATATAATAATCGCCATTTTAAGCTATCGGTTTATGGCGGCTATCTTCAAATTGAAAAGTATGGGTGGGAAGGTTAAAACAAAATTGAAAATCAGTTTTGATGTCTTTTATTTATCTTATTAAATTTAAGGCTCATTTACATATGTACACTAAATAGATTGTTTAACATATTTATAGTTATATATTTACTAACAATCTTATAATGGAAATTTTATAAATACATGCACAGTTTTAGTTATTAATGCTAACTATTTAAGTTGCTAATTATGAAAGTTACTTAGGTCTAGTTTTTACGCTCTGAACTGGCTTTGACTGTGGGCGGCTCATTGATCAGGCCGTAGAATAATGGAAGCTTTGTCAGATCGTGACGCACCAGCAGCATGAATGGTGTCTCGGCGCGGAAAACCACCTCGGGACCAGACTTTTTCAGAATAGCAGCCGATGCAGCGGCCGCCTCAGTGCCCTGTTCATTGACCACAAAGTCAACCTTGTGCAAAATATCGGAAACAATGAGATCGGAGGGCGGAGTTGGGCCTTGTATTGACATTGCCGCCTGCCTTTGTGCCACCAGATTTCGCAAGCTAGCCAAGCCATCCGCCTGGCTGCGATCCGTTGCTGCTGCCGGAGCAGCTGCGGCTGGTTGATTTGTGCCAATCAATGATAGATCGCTTTGCACGGGATTGAAGATGCCGCCAATGCCCATGCGTTCCAGCAGGCTGTGCAGCTTGAAGGATTCGGTAATGTGCAGCTTGGGGAATGCTATAATTATGGATCGTCTGCTCATCTGGCTAATCATGTGCTCAATGGCATCCGCATTAAGTCTTTGCTGCAATTGCGCCAGCTCCGTCACGGATGAGCGCATCGGCTGTATTACGTACATGGTGGTAAGATTACCATGATACGGCAGACCAATAATGCGACAATTCAGCTGCGGTTCCTCATAGTAGGGAAAGGCGCCGGCACCGACCATCATCTCTACGGGCAGCACGGGCTGGGTGCCCTCGCCGTTCGGATAGAAATCCTCCACTTTGGTAGCGCCGCCGATAAAATCGATTTCCCACATGGCCTTAAAGTACAGGGCATTGGCCATTATAATGCGTGTGTCCTGCGGCAAATCGTCCGTAAGTATATTCTCGATTTTGCCCTTCGTGTGCTGTTCCACCCACGAGTTGATGTTATATTTCGCTACCGCTGGACTTCTCTGGAAGTCGAGCGTCTGCAGGTCCGATTTGTAGATCTGAATGATCGCTTGTCTGTAAAAAGAGATTGCGATTGATATTCATTTAAGATGCATTCAAAAGAAAGGGTATTCATACTTAGAACAGACTCGGATTTACGTTCTATTATGGAATGGGCAATTCAAGGTCGTTTCAAGTATATTTGAATATTCTTTAATTATGTAGAAATCATTCATGATTTCAAATATTAACAGTCTGAGTCCTGTTATAAAAAGTATCGATTCTTATCGATATTTAGGGAATGGTTGCAGATATCGAAAATAAGATAAGCTTGTGGAAAGTTCACAATGCACAATAACGGTTTTTTTTCAAGAGAGCATATAACAGAAAAACAAGGTAATTAACAATGATAAATTCAAATTGTATACCCTGTTAAGTAAGTTAAATAATAATATTTCTCTTGCTGTCTCTCCGTTCGTTTATATATAATGGAATTAATCAAATGTTTATAGGACACAACGAGAACTAAGAACCAGCTTTAAAGAGACAAAACTATTCTCGCCACGCCTACTTCCGGACCACCAATCGCAATAATCGATAATTTCTCAAGCCACAGTTTTAAAATGACTGCCTTGGGCCAACAGTTTGAGAGCCACTTTCCCCAAACCCAAATAAACGCTTTTCAAACTATTCTTGGCCGTCTTTCTGACTGCGAATAGAGAGCATTGCGCAGTCGATCAGGCTCGATCACGAGTTTCACCTGACGTCTACCCACGTTTGTCAGACAAACAATTATTTATAGAAAAACTGGAACTATGTGAATTGCTGGTATTTCCATTCATACTTGAATTGCTCTCAATAGAATATGGCTCACCTGTAATCTGGATTCAAGCTGTAGCCGTACTGTAGGAACAGGCCATTGGCCACATGCACCTCCTGCGGCGCATTCCGGTTGCGCGGATAGGTGCGCAGGCTGCGCCGGATGCTGTTGCTGTGCCACGCGTCCAGTTGGCGATGCGGCGAGGTCGTCTGCCTGGTTGGCTGCTGCACATCCTGCAGCATGAGGCCGAACTGTTCGTGCAGCTTAACCATATTGCTTTGGCCAAAGACGGCGACCAGTTCCGTATAGCTGCGTCCCTTGGCGCCGAGCAGCAGCAGCGCCAGCGCGGACATAATGCTCAGCGGCGAGAATACGGTTGTTTTGCGATAATTGCTGTTAATCTGATTGGACAGATTTTGCGCGAAGGTCAAAATATGGCGTGCAATATCATCCGAGGCGGCCACATCCACATAGCCCGAACCCGAACCGGAACCGAAACTAGAACTGGAACTGGAACTGGAACCGAAACCGGAACCAGCACTGTAGCTATAGCTGGGCCTAGCATATTCAGCGGGCGCTGACAAACTGGCAACGGGCCGGGCAGCGGGCAGGGCAGCGGGTAGGGCAGCGGGCAGGGCAGCGACAAGGCCAGGCGATAATAACGGCGGCAGCGTGGAGTGTGCATCATAATATTTCTGCACCAGGGCTAGATCCTCCGGCTTGCGTACGTCGCGCAACAGCTCTAGATCGGAATTTCCCATGGAAAATAGACAGGCGAAGGCCAGCAGGCCGCAGCACAACGAACGCAACATTTTCTAAATTTATGCTTATCTTCAGCTACGACTTTTTTTCTTCCTATATATATATGTATATATATTGTGTGTATATGTGTGTGTGTGTGTGTGTGTGTATTGAGTAGACGCGCGCGCGATGTTAACGCCTTTGAAGCTGCTGTTAAACTGAGCTTGTCACGCTTCGTGCACCTCAATTTATAAGTTGATGCGAAAAATAAAACTCGTTATCAACAGCAAGTGCGATCCCAAGCCGAACCCGCCCCACCCCGCCCCGCCCCGCACCGCCTCGTCACGCCCCTTCGCACTGGCCATCTCCCACAGACAATGCTCAGCTGGCAAACGCTCTCCGGCTCGCTCATTGATGACGACTCATTGCATTGGTTTTTAAAATAAGAAAAAAAAATAAAAATTACTGGGTTATACCCCATTATTGTTTACATTGCCTGCAGTATGATTTCTTAATAGTTGATCCAATTACGTATCGGGTCTAACAAGCATTCTATATAGTATATTCCGCAGGCTCTCTCAACTGTTATTTTAATATAAAATCCACTCTCTCAGCGAAGATTCGCTTGTGCGGATATGTTTTCACGGTCCATACCCACTCAATGTGGTCCAGAAAGGGTCTACTGGCTTTGTGCACAGGTATGTAACAGTTAGTATTTTTATACCCTGCTATGTAAACGACTTTATTGAATATTTACAGTACTACTTAGTCTAAAACAGTTAGTAGAAAGCATCTTACGCAATTACTTAATTAATAAACCTTCTGTATATATACATATTATATCCTATTATCAAAATCGATAAGTATCGATACAGATTATATCCCACTATCAAAATCGATAAGTATCGATATAGATTATATCCTAGTATCAAAATCGATAAGTATCGATACAGATTATATCTTAGTATATTAATCGATGAGTATCGATATAGATTATATCCTAGTATCAAAATCGATAAGTGTCGATGCAGATTATATCCTAGTATCAAAATCGATAAGTATCGATATAGATTATATCCTAGTGCAGGCAAAATTCGCGTGAAGCGTAATATAAATGTTTATCTTTATTTTAACAGCAATTCGAAGTTGGCTACAGGGTAGCTACTAGTCGGTCGACTGTTTGCTTTTCACGCTCATGAACTTGTATCAATGCGGTCAGAATGCTAATTCTTGTCGCTCTCTTCAATTTTTTTTTTGGACCATAACTGTTTGAGCAAATATTTACAGATATTGATATTCATGGGCTATTCATATGGATTCTACAAAAATTTGGCGTTGACAATATACAGGATGGCATTAAGTATACATATTGATTTATTGGCTATGCGTATTATCACAGGAGATTTGTCATTTACCGCTTGGGGTTTACTGGGAAAGTTACTCTGCCTCAGCTTTTGTGATATTGTGGGTGTTTCCCCCTTTCGCAAAGAGACAAATATATAGTTTTTTTGCATACGTAGATGATAATCTTTAATCTATGGCTGGTAAATTACAAATCGATTTCTAAGATTTTCAATTTGAAATTTTTTTAAATAAGTCATATTTTTTAATTTCCAACTTGTTTTTTTTTATATTTTCGTTTCGTTCAGCTAATAAATCATTTTCTGACATGTCTGACGGGTTACGTATTAAAATGTGTAAATTAATCATTTATTAAACAGAGTTTTATACTAAACAAGAATAATGTTGCCAGCTTTAGATGCCAAATTGATCAAGGGGCCGAGTTCTGCTGAGATTTGACCAAGTCATGGGGTTGGGAAATTTTGACCTATGTCTGTATAGGATATTTAACGTGAATTTTGACTAAGAATAATGTTGCCAGATTTAGTATGTATGTATGTGTGTGTAAATGTATGTACATGTGTGCGCGTGTGTATATGTATGTATGTGCGTATATATGTATTTATGTGTGTGTAAATGTATGTATATGTGTGCGCGTGTGTATATGTATGTATGTGCGTATATATGTATGTATGCATGTAAATTGTCTTATATACCAATAGCAGACCAATTTGTTTTGTTGCGCGGCAAATATAAATAAGATAACGTATTTATTAAAGGCTGCCCTCCTCCTCGATTCTCAAAACTTTAAGTAAGGTCTGCAGGTCTTCACATGTGAATTAGGCGCAGGCGGCTTCAACGCTGGAAGCTGAGGAGCCGGAGGAGCACCAAGGGGGCGGAGCAGAAGGCGTATGTTTGTAGGTATGTATGTAGATATGTATGTAGGTATGTATGTAGATATGTAGGTATGTATGTAGGTATGTGTGTAGATATGTATGTAGGTATGTATGTAGGTATGTATGTAGGATTGTATGTATGTATGTAGGTATGTTGGTATGTATGTATGTATGTATGTATGTATGTATGTATGTATGTTTGTATGTATGTATGTATGTATGTATGTATGTATGTATGTATGTATGTATGTATGTATGTATGTATGTATGTATGTATGTAGGTATGTTTGTATGTTTGTATGTATGTATGTATGTATGTATGTATGTATGTATGTATGTATGTATGTATGTATGTATGTATGTATGTATGTATGTATGTATGTACATATGTATGTATGTATGTATGTATGTCTGTATAAATAACTATAGTAATGATTTCAGCTTTTTAGCTCTTATGGCTGTGCGTTGTTCATCAATCAGTCAGTCAATTAGTCAGTCAGTCAGTCAGGACAAACAGTTTTATATATAGAGAAAAATTCACACTTACAAGTACGTTGTTCATTTAAGAAAGAAAGGGAGTTAAGGTTAATTTAAAAACATATGCATTTATATTGAAAATCAAGATTGGGAAAATTAAACAACTTCTTTTTAAAATTTATGTAATACAATTTATAACTAAAGCTTAGTTCTAAAATATTCACAAAAGAAAAAATAAAAACCATTTGCATTTCGTTTGCATCTATAAAAACCCCAAAATTCCCAGAAACGCTCCCGAACTTTAAAATATTATTGAATCAATGTTTTTATATTTTCCTTTTCATTGATTTAATTATTAAAACAAATAATCTTTTAATCATAGCATTGATTTGTTCTTTTGGCATTGTGTTGTATTTATTTGTTGCTGGTAAACACATTATGAAATATGACAATATACATTAATCAATACTTTAGGCATGGCTCGTAGTAATCTTTTCTATACCGTCTACCAAGTCCAGTAGACGTTGTCGATTTTTTGAAAGCCCAGCTTTTCAAACATTTTTCGCGATGGCGTGTTTTCTGTGACAACAGGTGCCAAGACCTCGTCGCCCATTTCAGAGATTTTCTTGGATAAGTAACGCACCATCAAACTTCCCAGGCCGAGGCGTTTATGGGATTCGAGGACCTGTAGCAGGCCCAGCGAGCCAATTGGCAATCTAAAACAGAAACAGAAAGCATTACGTAAATCTGTATCAAGTTTCAATTGAACTGAACCAGTTCAAGTCCGGAATCAAAATTGTTCCTTTCATAAGCCAGGCTAAGGAACAGTCAGGCCTAACTCTGAACCGAATCATTTTTTGTTTATTCTTTTCTTTTCTGCTCATGTTAAAATTGAAGCTCGTCAACTATGTTTAATTTTAATCGAAAAATTTAAAATTTAGTTGATAAATGCCCGTTGTACTGAAAATATAACAAATCGTACTTATTTTCATATACAAGATGAGGGCTATATTTGATGTAAACCCAAACGTTGCATTTATTAAAAATAATTCAATAAATGAAATTTTTGGGGACAAAGTTTATGCTTTGGGACTTGCTCTGTCTCAGCAAACAAATTTTCGAACAAAATATGATTTCTGTTTGTATTTTGGTTCAACTTTTTCTTGGACAAGAGATTTGCTTTAAGATTCGGTTCATAGTAGGAAATAAGTTTAAATTACGATACGATATGAACCAAAGTTCGCGAATCGAATCTTAAATCGTGAACCGAACAACCTTACATTTTGCTCTCCTTGCAGCTAAGATGCGAGGTGATATTCAACCGAAACTCACCTCAAGCACCAGGCTATCAATTTGCCTTGTTCGTCATAAGCACCCACCGAAACGTTGTGGACTATCAACAATTTGACAAACTCCACGGAGCCATCGGCACGATGTGGCCAGATTTCATTAACGGTTGGTGCATCTTCTATGTCCAAGCTGCGCAGCTCGATTCCAGCAGGTGGCCTTTAAAAGACAAGTGTTTATGAAATACCCGAAAGGTCTACAATTAACTAACTTACTCCGCTGAAAATGTAGCAACCAGCTCTTTGCTGGCACTGTACCAAGCTGTCTGCGTTGTTTGTTGCCGTAAGTTCGGCAATTGCTTGCTGCAGACCTCTACGGCGGGCAGAATCCGCTCCCCATAGGCAGCGAACAAATATATATCCTCGGCTTTGGATGTCAAACAGAGCAGCGCACTGGTCAAACGATCCAGGTTCGAGCTCAGCGTATTAAAAGAGACTTCTTTGTGGACAGATAAGTGTTTCTACAAATCACACACATCGCACATTACATACATATTTCTTTCTCAAGGTTTCTCTCTTCTGCAAGCTACGTACAATCATCAGGAAGGTGCCATCGTTTTGCCAGTCCCCGTCAAGCGAGTAGCACTTTATATCACTTTTGTCACCATTGGCCAACCAGTTAATATGGTTTTTTATTAAATAATATCCATTTGATTCCGTCTTTTTGCCTTCATAAAGCTCCAGTAAAGTTTTCCACTCGCATGGCGCTATCTCAACGAGCGAATGCGAATTATATTGCAGCTGCGACATGTCCGACTCGCCGTAAAGCTGAAACACAACTGACTCTATGTAAGCATTCCACTAGAAATATATATGCATATGTTAGGGGCGTCGTTTAAGGCAATCTGATGTGTGTATATGTGTGTGATAAGCTTGTGTGTTCTATCAAACAGCTGGCACGATTATTTTTACAATGCACAAAGTATCTTTAAAGAAAAATGAGAACTACTCCAAATAGAAAATCTGCCTAGAAACAAGTTTGATTAGGGCTTTATGATTTGATTAAAGCTTTATGGTTTAATAAGGGCGTTAGTTAGATTAAATGCCCTTGTTAGAATTATTTGATATTCATTTGCTTTCTTCATTATTTTACGATCAATTCTTTATGTTTGAGCTTCATTTTATATATGTTTACTTTAATTGATCTATTATTATTATTATTATATTATTATACAATTATTAACACTTTCCATTAAACCATTTATAATTTATTGTAACTCCATCAGGAAGCGGGCACAACGGCCCAATATACATCATGGACATGCTTAAATCCCAGCTTATCAAACAATTTTCTAGATATTTCATTGTTGAAGACAATTGTGGCCAGAACCTCGGCACCAGTTGCTGCAATTTCCTGAGCCATAAAACGCACCAACATCGAGGCCAGCCCAAAACGTCTGTGGGGGGGCAGAACATATAAATTACATAGGCTGCCGTGTGGAGATCTATGCAAGAGAGCCAAGTGCTAATAAGTAAATAAACATATATTTATAAATCAGATTACCTTAAGCACCAGCCCAGCAGATGTCCCTCGCTGTTGAAGGCACCCGCGCTGATATTATGCCGTATGAGGTTTCTTATCAAGATCAAAGAGTCATTCGAGCGATAAGGCCAATGAGCATCCACTTCGGTAGCATGTTCGCTGTGCAAGGAACCCAATTTTATGTCTGAAATTGGGCTGATCAAAATTGTAAAACAAAAAAATGTACTTATAAGAAGTGTCTACTTACCTTAAGTCAAGTGGTTTAATTTCCGAATGTGGTAAATGATATACAAATGTTCCTTGATGTTCCAGTTGGCCTAAGCTCAGACCTCTGCCCAGCCAATAATGTTCCACAACGTGTTTAAAGCGATTTTCATAGCCGCAAAATAAATGTCTCATATTCAGTTGCCAAGAACTCAGCATCAATTGCAGCTGGTCCAAAGATTCCCCCAGAGTATTGAAGTAAATCTCAGCCTTGTTGCCAAAACTGTGCTGTGATATACAATCACTTAAAAATATAATATAAAAATAAATAAAAACCTACTTACAACTAGCAAAAAGCTGCCATGTTTCGGCCAATTGGCGTCTGTCACATAAATTTGTACATTTTCACCACACTCTGACCAACAGATAAAACTGTTAATTAGGTCATAGCCCGTTAGATTCGTACGATCGCTTTGATACAAATCTCTCAGCTGGAGCCACTGTTCACGAGCAATTGCCAACATTATTATTATTGAGTGCCTAAGAGAATATAGCTTTAATATATATACGAACATCGAGCGCAGTAACAGTAACAGTAACTGCAACTGCAACTGCAACGAGGTTCGGTTGTAGTTGCGCCGGGCTCGGTAATTCTCTCATATTCCATTTCAATTCGCCGCACACATCAATTCGCTGCCCTATTCAATTCGCCTGTTCTTAAGCAGCAGCAGTTTTGGTATCGATAATTTATTTGAAGAAAATTCTTAACGCCCGCACATTTAAATGTAAATAAATAACCGCATGTGGAAGTTTGCTGATCACAATAAGATTTATTAAAAAGATTAGCTTAAGCTACCAAGTGCTCTGAAAATATTCTGTGCCCGCCAGCTCAGAGCTGTTCTTGGTTTTATCAAGCATCTATATATCTCGCTTATATGCATATTTAAAAACTAATTGGTTTTGAGTTGTATAACTTTTGGTCAGAGGGCCGGCACCGTGGTAAAATATATATTATCAATGAGCTTGAATCCTAGCTTTTCAAAAAATATTTGTGATATCTTATTGCCAAACGCAATTGTGGCTAAAACCTCAGCGCCCGTGGCGGCAATTTCTTGAGCCATAAAACGCACCAGCAAAGAAGCCAGTCCAAGACGTCTGTGAGGGGGCAGGACATGCAAATTGCTAAGGCCGCCTTGTGAGGATCTGTCAATGGAAACAATGAAAACAAATGTAGGTGAGTGAAAAAATGTATTTTTTAAAATGATTACCTCAAGCACCAAGCCAACAACTGACCGTCCCTGTCGAAGGCTCCTACGCTGACATAATTTCTAATACGATCGCTGATCAATGCTAGGGAATCACTTGAACGGTGGGGCCAATGTTCATCCACTTGAGATGCATGTTTGATGTCCAAGGGACCGAAACTGATATCTGCAATTAAGCTGAAAAGCGTGTAAGTAAATTATAAAATATCACAGCGAACAATATTTCAGCTTACCGGCAATCAAATGGTTGAAACGCCGATTGTGGTAAATAATAGACAAATGTTTCTAAATGCTCCAATTTCGTTAGTTTTAAACGCCTTTCCACACAATATTTGTCCACAATATTTTTCAAAAGATGTCTATAGCCGCAAAACCAATGTCTGCTGTTTAGTTTTAAGGAACCGAGCAGCGCTTGCAGTTCAGTCAACGATCCATTTAACGTATTAAAGAAAACATCTGCCTTGTCATTAGAACTGTGCTGTAAAAAATATATATTTATAATAATTAAGCATATAACGCGTATGGATTGAAAACTACTAACAATTAGCACAAAACTGCCGTGTTCCAGCCAACTGTCGTTTGTTGTATAAATTTTCACATTTTCTGCTTGATCCGGCCAGTAAATATAGTTATTAATTAAATCATAGCCCGTCAGATTTGTGCGATCGTTTTGATACAAATCTCTCAGCAGCGTCCAATAATCGCGAACTAATTCCAACATTTTACTAGTGATTTCTCTTTAAAAACATGTGATTAATTGCTCTAACGAAACGCTTGCTCCAGCGATTACGAACTGATTCTAGAATGGCAAAAATCGTTTTTAAAAACCACTTATGCAATTATTTACTATGTGCGGGATATATATTAAATAAGTTCCCTTTTTTCGAATTGTCGCAACAGTAACAGAAATCACAGCTCCACAATTGCGAGAGTCCAGTCCGCATACTCTCTCTCTCTCTCCGAGATAATTTTGAGAACATTTTGGTGCGGATCGTAGGAAAGGGAACCAATTATGAAAGTACATCTGCAATGCTATTAATATTCATCTGGCGACCACCGAGAGTGACCGTGACCCAGGGAAATTTGCTGGCGTCAATTTTATGAGTGATCATCGATTCATTCAAAGCTCTTTTTAAGAAACCGTGCCAAATGTGAAGAACTCTCAGCATATGACAATGGTTGCGATACAGTAAAAGTTCTCTGCGGCTCTAAGATTTCTATATGGAAGGTGCGTATTCACAGTTCAGTTGCTGTTATTTTATTGGTTTACTTTGCTGTTCTTTATCCTCTTTTGTGAAGGCAGTGAATGCAACTAAAACTTCCTAACCAGTCCAATAAACGTTATCAATTTTCTCAAATCCCAGTTTCTCGAACAATTTCCGCGATGGGGTGTTTTCTGTGACAACAGGTGCCAAGACCTCGTCGCCCATCTCAGAAATTTTCAGAGATAAAACGCGCACCATCAAACTGCCCAGGCCGAGGCGCTTATGGGATTCGAGGACTTGCAGCAGGCCCAGCGCACCAATTGGCAATCTGCAAAAGCCAAAAGTTTTATACAAGGTTTATTTAGTTAACTGACAGTTAGAATACCTTAAGCACCAGGCTACCAATTTGCCGTGGGCATCATAAGCACCAATTGAAACATTGTAGTCTATCAGACGTTTGACAAACTGAACAGAATCCTTGGAACCGTAGGGCCAGTTCTCATTTATGGTCGTAGCATCGGCAGTATTCAAGCTGCGCAACTGAATTCCAGCAGGCGGTCTAAAAGCATAGAAGCGTCAATGGATACTACAATGGATAATTTATGGCATTTAAAATCATACTCGGTTGAAAAGGTAGCAACAAGTTCTTTGCTGGCATTATACCAAGCTGTTTGCGTTGTTTGCAGCTGTCGGTTGGCACATTTTTTGATATAGGCATCGACTGCCGGCACAAGACGCTGTCCATAGTCATGCAGTAGATATTCCACAGCTCCAGATGGCAAACAGAGCAGCGCCTTGGTCAAGCGCTCTAGACTCTCGCTTAGGGTATTAAAAAACACCATTTTCCGCTGGGTTCCATTGCCAACCTAGAAAATAAAGCAAAAAATGAATTTCATGTGCAGTCGGATATATTTACTAGCATAATACTCTGCACACTTTTATGTACAATCATTAGAAACGTGCCGTCCCCTTTCCAGTCCCCGTTTAGTGATAAACACTGAATATCGAGATCGGGTTCTTTGCCTTTCCATTTGATGTAATTGCTTATTAACGAATATCCAGAAGATTCCGTTTTTTTCTTCGCATAGAGATTGAGTAAATTGATCCACTCACTGGGCGCTATCTCAATTAGAGAATCACAGTTAATATCAAATTGCTGCGACATGTCTACGAAGCCAAAGAACTGATCAACAATTGAGTTTAACAATAAATTTCAAGAATTTAACTGCTCGTTGAAATTTCGGAAGCGATTTTTAATAAAGTAAACAATCGCATTTAACAGTTACTAAGATTCAGCGTTGCCAACTGCCGAAGATCATAAATAGCTGAAGAAAACACCGCAGTAACGTCATTTCTGTTATTGTTTTACAGTACGTTACCTAGAATTAGCGTTGCCAACTGTCGAAGATCATAAATAGCTGAAATATCGAGCAGAAAAAATTGCTCTAAATAGCAAAATTCATTAGGAACTAGCTTGAAAAATGGTTGAAATTTTCTCGTTCTATTAATTCATATTTTCAAACACTGTATCTTCAGGTCATCAACTAAAGATAATGCCGTTCGATTGTTACCCAAATCTGCGTGAAGACTGGCAACATTAATTTCGATTTTTGAGCAGCTGATTAAATATCGATAATTCATATCGAAGTCAGATGGAGTAACGTTTTCTGCGCGCAGAATTCAATTCTGGTTGAAATGGACATCAAAGAGCTGCAATGGCTGCAGCAAGTTGTACCCTTAGCTTACAAAGCATTGGATGCACTAGCAAAATGGCCAACAAGGCGCCTATCGCCTTCACCCTTGCCAGAGCAACGAAAGGAAACCATGTCGCCGCCGAGCAAAAGGCGGCGAACTATGGCAACAGCCCGCGCTGAGCGCAGCAGCAATCGCAGAATTTGGGTAAAACAGGAAAATCTGAGTCGCGATATTGATGGCCTGTTTGCCACCACGTTTCACGCTGCACACAACCAGGACGAGTTTCGACTTCGCACAGGCATGACTCCTCAAGTGTTCGATATGCTCTTCAGTTTGGTGGGCGAGCAATTGAACAAGAACTCCATACGCAGGCCCATACCACCGGAGTGCAGGCTCTTCCTAACGCTGGTGTGAGTATAATAATTATTGAATTTCTTAGGTTTCAAGCATATTCTCTTTGCAGCTATTTATCCAATGCAGAGCGTGTGCTGGATTTGTCCAAGGCATTCAAAATGGGCAGCTCCACAGTGCGTTGCATTGTGCAAGAAACAAGCGAAGTGCTGTGGAACACGCTGGCACCAGCCTTTCTACCCCAACCAAGTGTAGAGGATTGGAGTAACATTGTTGCAGGCTATCAGGAGACATGGCAAGTGCCACATTGTCTGGGCGCCGTCGATGCCAAGCTGCTGGACATCTCCTACAAGAGCGAAAATGATATTATACTGTTGGCCAGCTGCGATACAAATCTAAACTTTACGTGCTTTGACATTGCCACAGTGACCGATGCTGTCAACAATCAGCTCCATTGGCATCAGGATTTTGGCGCGCAGTTACTGACCCAACAATTGGGCGACCTGTTGCCTGCAGAGCCATTGCCTGAGGGGGAACAAAAAACCAACTTTATATACACCTTCATAGCAGGCAATACGTTTCCCATGCTCGAGCATCTGGTTACTCCTTATGAAGCGCAGCAATTGGACGAGGATCAGCTGCATTTCAATCAGCATTTGTTGCGCGCTCTAGCTGGTAGCATTGATAAGGCTTTCAGTGTTCTAATGTCACGTTGGCGTGTCCTTTCCCTGCCCCTGCGTCAGAGTCCAAGCAATGCCGAGAAGATCATTCGAGCTGCTGTTGTGCTGCACAACTTTGTAAAGCTACACGATGAAACCTACTGTCCAGCCAGTTTTCTGGAGGAGGTGCCAATATGCCCACCCAAGCACAAGGTGCCTAATGAATGGCTTTGCAGCCTGCAACAGCCGCCAGTCAAATGTAATGCAACAATTCAATTGCGCGAAAGCATGAAGAAGATTGTAGGCTGCAAGCTGGAATCCAAAATAGTTGAAGCGCTCGTTGACTGTGTTGAATGGACAGACCAGTAGAGGATACAACAGCTAACAATTTAATTTGACGGATTGGTGTTTTTACATATGGACATTAACTGAATAAGTTCCATCAAAGCATCAGTACCCAAATCTTTGCCAGCGCGTAGTTTATGTCTCTCCGTATGCGCGTCTCTGGTTGTATATATGTAAATGACGTCGAAGCGTGACTTGCGTGTTTCCCAAATGACGATACGGATCTTACATTGTTTGTTTGTATTGTATTTCACCGCTTTTGTCGTTGATGCGATTTATCCCTGATTCGGGTTCCAAGTTTATTGGCAAATTTAGAAGCAGTATTTTAGCCAAAAGCTTTTTGAAAGCTTAATTAGGAACTATGCAGTTTAATGCCTATATTAAAAATTATCTATAATCTTATCTACAAACGTGACTCACTGAATTCAAACTTGGTCTTTATCGACGTACTTGAAGGGACAACTTTATTGACATTTATTATAGCAAGAAATACATTGATAATAGAAAATCATATTTAATTTTATAAAAAAGAATCAAATAATACATATGGATACAGTGATTTAAAGCATCAGCATGCATAACTTTTAAAGGGGAGACGTTCCTTAACATGGCCAACAATCAGCATTAGCTCCAGCTGCAACTTCTAGCTGCTGCTGTCCTTTAATTCATTACTCCGTCGGCGCGAACGTTCAATGCATCCAAAAATGCGCCCATGGGCGTAGATGGTCCAAAGCTTTCGATGGTATTTGCCAGCTTGTTCTTGATGTTGCGCAGCCGCAGTGAGGCATGGATAAAGGTCACCGAGATGGGCAGCAGCAGGGTAAAAGCGGTCAACAACACGGCGCTAATCATATGCAAAAACAAATAGCCGGCCAGCAAGGCACCCGCCAGGATGTACCACTTTTGCTGAGCATTCTGTTGGGCCAGGATCTGATTGCCGCCAGTGAGGCGACTGGCGATGAAATTCGTTTTCGATTTACTGCTGAAGAACTGCCAAATGATGGCAATGATCAGGGCCTGTACTATCAAGCCGCTTATGATTTTCGTCGGATAGAAGGCAATCATGATCACATAGATGGCCAGAAAGACGAGAAAATAATTGGTTTGATAGTACAGCAAATTCTTGACCACACGATTGCCCCACTTGTCAAAGTCCTTCAGATTGGGCAGCTGAAAGCGCGCCGAGCCCAGCACAAAGTCATCCAGAGTACGCAGCGGTGGCAGCTGCAAATTGCCCGAGAGCGCTGCGGCCGCATCGCCAACTGAAGAGGTTGTTGGTGCCGACATCGTTTTGGAGTATTTATTGTTGTTCCGTTTGTGGGGCGGCTCTTGGGCGAGTTTCTGGTAGTTCACTTGACTTATTCCACGCTTTATTTGCTGCACCTCCTCTAGGTCAAACAGCTGAGACGCCAGCTGCCTTAACTTAGGCCGCAAGCCAAAACTACTCGATTCTCGGCCTGCTTTGGGCAGGAGATGTGCGCGCTCGTCGTTATTATGCCAAACGTAATCTTCCTCGGAATCACTATAATTGTCCAGCGTAAATCTTGGTAATTTCACAACACTTCACGCGTAATTTGAGTGTGTGGCTCTTTAGCAAGTACAACAAATATCTTTAACAAGTTGACTCATGAGATTTGCTTACGTGAGTCACCCTGTGTTGAATATTGCCTGCATGTCAGCATATCGATGCTTTGCAAACCAAATTCGGATCGATTCTGGTATCGATTCTCAACTTGATGTGAAACTGATTTTTATTTAGAAACTTGCCACTAATTCAAGTTATTTTGATAAAAAAGAAACACTAAATTGATGAATTATTTAGCATTTTGTTATTTTTCTTTTTAAGTTCGCTTACTACTGCTATTTTTTTCAGAATCTTCGTAAACTTTTGCTCGTTTACGAAATTGTAAGTTTATTAAAATTAGAATTATTATTAATCAAATTGCATCAACTTGTTCTTCAACCATCTATAAATTGCTTATCATTTTCACAGTATTGCATAATTTGTAAATCAATAAAGTTCTACCAAAACTAGTTTAGACACTTTGTATTTTGTCATGATGTCTTCATTTCTATTTAATTTGTAAAATTAAATTATTCAAACGTAAGTACATCTAAAGCAACATTGTTGTAAGAAAAACCTAATGAAAAAAAAAATGGAAATTGTTTCGAAAAGAAATTTAGGGGGTAATTGGTGTTTGGGGTACCGTTAGACGAAAGTCAACATAAACATTGTTAAACAATTATGTTTATATTCGTGATTAAATTAGGAATATGTGTAATGTGTTTAACCTCCTACCCTCCCAATTTTGTGGGACGTGAGGACTACGACTACTCCAAACTTGGTTCAAGTTTTTTGGTAATGCGTTTTTAGCTGGTAACACAATGATTTTAGTTATCGTTCTTTTGCTTGTTTTTGTTTTTTTTTAGTTTTTTGGTGGTAGAGGTTGGTTACGCTTCCAGGTCATTGACGAAGAGCACCTCACGATTCTTTAGGCCGACCTCCTTAAGTGTCTTGTTGACGATATCATTTACGGCGCACTCAGCGGCGTCTATGGCCGCCTTGGAATAAAGTACACGCTTGGGGAAATTCGTTGTTATTTCGAATTCGTCCGGCGATGCGGGATGGCAGAAAAGGAAATGATAAACGTCCTGAAAATAATTAAATTACTTATAAGATTTAGTGTTGATTAGAGTAGAATTCTGCATTTACCAAAATGGAATCTGTTTGCTGGAAGCGTCGTTCCAGACGCGTGCCGCTGGGCAGCTTAAATACAACGGCGATGGCATCAATTGCATCGGCTGCTGGCTCTGGGGGCACCAGATTGGCCAGCTCGATCTTTTGCCTGGCAATCTCTTCTTTGCGCAACTCGACATCGCGACGGGCACGTTCCTCGGCCTCCAGTACTTGGCGAGCGGCATCACGTTCCCGTTGGCGCTGACGCTCCTTCTCCTCGTCAGCCAGCAGACTCTGCTCGTAGGCTTCATCCTGCTGGCGACGCAGCGTCTGTGTGAAGTTGCGCTCCAAGCGATCGGCGCGCGCCTGACTTAGCCACACTTCGTTGACAGCTATCACCGCCTGCAGACGGCGCTGCAGTTCCTCGGGTGTGCAATCACCCTCGAACCGGCCCACAACCATCATACGATTGGCTCGCAGGCTAATCATCACCATCAGCGGATAGGTGCGCACCGTAATGGTTTGCATGACACGATAACCCTCCGGCGTGGACACGTCACAGCCCCAAAGCAGCGTATGGGTATTAATATAGTCGATGATTGAGCGTGAGGATAACGTATCGCGGCAAAAGGACTCCACATCCGGATTCTGAGTTGGATCCTTATGCAGATAGACAAGCAAAAAGCGTAACTCCTGCTTGGCATCGTTCAGTGCCTGGGCATATGTGCCCTGATAGAATACCGGATGCTCTGGGTAACGTTCATAATACTCTCGTATGAACTTCATCACATCGGCCAGCGGATCCGTAATAATGCGCGGCTCATTGCCGCCGCCAATGTTAATAAATGCACGGACAATGCCCGACAGAGTCGAGTAAAAGTATTGGAACACAAAATTGATCACGTAGCCGAGCATGCCCGTAAAGCTGCGTGGCATTGGCCCAATGCTGGGCACCCGGCTAACCATTCGGCCGCCGGGCATATTCGCTGAGAAGACCTGTTGCAGGAAACGATCATTGATGACAGCCGGTGCGCGCACATCTGTCGAGGCTGTTAGCATGGTGGGCCGACCCTCGCGTATGTTCATTTGCTCCTGAAAGGCCACCTGCACCGACAAAGGTCACAAATAATGTTAATTAATTGCATTTGAAGCGAATCGGGTGCCAAGTACCTCGAGATCCCATTGATGACGTATGAGCACGTCACGACAAACGTTCATGTCCTCAATGCCAGTTAAGTCCTGAAATTGCAGAACTTTGTCCGTTTGTTCATTTGTCAGACCCTCCGCCTCCATTTTGCAGCAGGTGTTGTTGTCGTCGTTTTAGTTGTAGTTGTACTTGTAGTTGTTGTTGGTTTATTAGTGTTTGCGTCTTTTCTGCGTGTCTATTGCTGCTTTGTGGCGCGGTTGTGATTTCTGTTCTGGCCTTTGTCCGCTGCTGTTGGCAAAACGGATACGCAATTTTTATAATTTATAGTGGCAAATTTATTATTTGCACGGCCAAGACTCACTAAATAAACTGAACGAACGGAACCCCTAATTGTCGTTCATCTAACATATGTTTTTTGGCATCCAATAACTTAGCATTTTGCTCGCTGTTATTAACAGCGAGCCATTATTTGTGTTCCCCTAAAAACACGATCGTAACTCGAATTTTCAATATAAAATATAGAGATAATTACTTTGAGTTAAATTTTTAACGAAAATGTAATTAAAAGTTTTATAGCAATATGTTTATTATGTTGTCTGAATGAAAATTCGGCAGATAAGTCACCAATTTGAAATAAGCAGCTGCTAACTGGCTGTTATAATTGCAGCTAAAAACAACTGTTATTTAACATAATCGATTTATTAATGTAGCTTGAATTCGCAAATGGTGACATAAGCAAATTGTTTATAAACCTGTTTGGCATCCGTTATAATATTCTAAGCGACATTGTTTTTATATAATCATATTGAATTTGCACAATTTTTACACTAAAATGTCATTTCGATAGACCGATAATAACTACTTGTATTTACAGCGTATCATCTCTACGTTTTTGTTCTGTTTACATAATTGTTGACTTGACAGCAAATGTTAAAGTTGTTGAGTACTCACAGCTGTCGCTGTTAGTGTTGTGTTCTTTTGTTTACTTTGATTTTGTTTACCTTGTTTTCCGCGTAAAATGAATGCACGCGCTCACAAAGCATTTATGCTGAATTTTTTTCTGGACGAGGGTCTGGGCCCCCAATTGGCCGAGGCAGTACGGCTAGTTACGTCTGAGAGTACATTAAATGTCCTGAGTACAGCCACTGGGGGCGAAGATAAACATATACGCTCCATGCCACGATATCAGGATGATCAGTTCAAGGAACAATTCCGCATGCAGCGCAGCAGCTTTGAGGTGAATAAAAGTAAACATAATAGCCACTTATTGCTACATATAACATTTCCTCTTACAGAAGCTGCTCCAGGTCGTTGGCAAAGCTATAGCCGGTGCGGAACATCATCAGCCAATTGCGCGCGTCTCACTCCCTGAGAAATTATTGTACACATTAACACTTCTAAGTGGCAAGTATGCTTGGTCGTTAATTTGCAAAGAAAACGAGCCTATATTTATTTTGCTTGCACCCGCAGAAAATCATTCCGCGAGGTGGGCGACAGTTTTGCCATATCCAAAAGTTCGGGCCACGAAATCTTTAAATGGGTTACCGCCGCCTTTGCTGCGCTAATGCCGCGCTATGTGAAGTGGCCGGCGGACAATGCGTGCGGTGGCAGCGGCATTAGCCAACTACCAGGTGTTGTGGGCGTCATCGACGAGTGTCGCATTCCCCTGAAGCTGCCTGTGCGCGAGGAAGATGGACATCTGCAGTACGCGTCGCTGGCCCTGCAAGCGGTGTGTGACGAACGCAGTCGCTTTCTGGATGTGCACATCGATGTGCCCGACAATCAGTGTGTGTTGCTGAAGAGTGAGCTCTTCGAGCGACTTATTGACATGGAGGAGCCGCTGATGCCGCCGCACAAGCATCTGGTGGGCGAAATGATGTATCCACTGTTGCTCAATCTGATGACACCCTATGCGGACAACAATGGGGAATTGACACCATGTCACACACGCTACAATCGGGCTGTGCATTTGTGGAATGCGCCCGCGGAACGCGCCTTTGCGGCATTGATGTCACGTTTTAGACGCCTGCAATCGCTAGATGTAGGCACATTGGAAGTGGGCAGCATTGTTGTCTCCGCCACCTGCATGCTGCATAATTTTATATTGGATTGTGGTGAACCCATTGAAGATGCTACCTTGGACTTTGAGATGCTGCCAGATAATCAGAACAGCATCGTGTTCGAGGAGCACGGTCTGGTCAATTGGGATCACACATCAGCGGCGGAAAAGAAACGCGATGGCCTTGTAGCTGGCTTTATACATACGTAGCATATAGGCATTTATCTAATGATTAATATTTAATCAAACTAGTTTGCATTTTTTTGAAAAATGTGAAATCTGGCAACTATTAAATTTAGATTATCAGTTCAAAGCCGCCAATTTTTTACACGCAGTCGCAAATGAATTCGATTTGTTTTTGACACTTAGCAATTGAAATAAATATGTATTTAACATCAATCTCCAAACAGAAAGTAAATTCCGATATTGCGAATTTGAAAACGAGGAGGAGAATGAGAGGTCGGATACGTTGTTTTGCTGCTAAACAGTGAAGACATTTGGCTCGGTCTGGCAACTCTAAAGTTGACAGTCTAAGTATAAAGCCGCCAATTTTCATTACGCAGTCGCAAAGGCATTTGAATTGAACAATTGGGAGTTTCAGCAAATATGTATTTAATATCAACCTCCAAAAAGACAATTTTATCCGATTTTGCGGATTTGGAAACGAAGTCAACATTTGCTCACGCCAATGGAGAATCAACAGATTTTCAGTTCAACGCCCAGCGACGCGTCTTTGTGGAGGTAGACAGAAAGGCGGGCTTGGCGGTGATGCGCATAAAGGAGAAGCAACAAAACGGTAAATCAAATTGCACAATTAAAAATTTATTTGCAATAATATTCATTTTCTTGCAGCACCCGAAATCCAGCGCCTACGCAAATTAACTATAGAGAATGCCTATTCGGTGTGCTGCGCCAAAACGGCGTCCAATCAAATTGCCATTGGCCAATCGAGTGGATTTGTTAAGTTGTTCGACTTTCGCACGACCGAGATGATACACCGTTATCCGGCGGACCAGTCACGCAGCACTGTGCTCTATGTGGACTACAATTGCACGGATGATTACATAGCGGCTGTGCTGGAGGGCGGCAAGATTAACATCTATGGCACCAAGACCAAACAGAAGATTGAGACTCTCACAATTGATGATCAGTAAGTAAAACTTTTTGATTTGATGCCCCTGAGCATTTGAGTTAGACAGACAAATACCATATCTCTATTTCCAGACACGGCAAGCTATCAATTGCTAGGGGTCGATTTCAAGATTGAAATCTCTTTGAGCTTGAGACCCATCCCAAATTATTAAGGTTTCCCCCATATGGGAGGAGTAGGATCTGTTTTCTAAGTTCTTATCAGAAAGACTCTGTCGTGGCAGGTTTCATTCAGGCCTCAATTCTTAATATTCTTGCAGAGGGCATTTTATTTATTTTCCAAGTTCTTATCGAATTGATAGATACATATCCGAAGCCATTAAATGTATATACTCTTGACTTTGTATCAAGAACCAGTTCTTACCACAATGATCTAAGAAGGGTTGATATGTAGTTGCCCGCATTTATCGAACATACGCTTATATTGTCCCTTTTTTACAATGCAGCTCGACTCTGGCTCGTTTTCATCCCAGCAAGCGTTTCCATTTGGCAGTCGCCTCCTACAAGGGCACCGTCAGCGTCTACGATGTGCAATCCAAGCGGACCATCTTCAACATAGACGACGCGCACGATGCGCCTTGCCGGGACGTGAGCATGTGTAGCTCACAACCCTCGCTGCTGGTTAGCGTTGGTTACGATTGCATCATCAATATATTTGATATACGGCGCAACAAGGCGCAGTCGTCCTCAGGCCGTTTAGCCTACTCGCATCCCATGTCGACGGTGGCGTTAAGTGAGTGCGGCACCTACTTTTGTGCGGGGAATCTCAAGGGTGAGCTGATTGCCTACGATATGCGTAGCACCAAGGCGCCGCTGGCCGTGCGTTCCGTGCACGAGGGCTGGTAAGTGTATCAAAATGTTGATCTCTTCAGATTTCAATTCACCATCCCCATTTACTTACAGTGCTGTCAGCCGTGTTGCCTTTGTGCCCATGCCCACGGAGGAGCAGCAGAGCAGCAGCTTCACCAGCTCAAGTAATGTGACTATGGATTCCGGCAAGGCCGCTCAAGTGGAGCGAATGCCGAGCGATGAGCTACGCAAATCGATAGCCGCAAATTTGCTGATTACACAGCAGCAGCTGGCGACCATGAGCAGCTTGGGCTATGGGAACGCCTCTGTCGGAAGCACCTTTGCAACGCCGGCACAAGCTCGCGGACAGCGAGATTCCTTTTGTGATTTTCTAGATGCGCATAGGCCGCGTGCTGTGGATCGCATGTCCACGCGCTTGACCACAACGGCACGACGTGATAGCTTCGACTGGGATGCTCTGCACTCGAAGCCCAGCAATGAGGAACAGCGACAGAGCATTTGTCCGACCGGTTCGGGTCTCAGCTCCCTAGATAGTGCCAATAGCTCTACGGTGGACTCGCTGCAACGTGAGTACCGCTAGCTCCGGTTTAAATGAAACAACTAAATCCATCTAAATGCCCACAGAAACACTCAGCGGTCCATTGCGAGATCGCAGCAACGTATCGGCCGATGCAAAGTTGAAAAAAATTGCCGAAACAGACGAGCACAGCGCCCTGCACGAGCAGTCAGGCAATTGTTCGGCGGCCAGCAGCTGCGCGGGCAGCGACAAGGAGAATCCATCAACAGCGGACGTAGAACGTAAGCAACGCCTGCGTCTGCTGCCAGCCAGTCGCAATAGTACGCCGCATCATGTGGCTGCCACGGCAACGCAATCAGCAGCTTTGCAGCCACAGCAATTGTTGCCGAAGACGTCCAGTGGCATTTCCACAGATGCCTCACTACAGGATGCTGTTGCAGTGGAGCGTGACGAGCTGGACGAGCTGCATAAGGAGCGCGCTGCGCTGCAACAGGAACGAGCGGAGCTGCGCAACCTGCTAGATGAGCGTTTCGTTAAGCTGGAACGCGAATTGAAATGGTCGGATGAGAAAACCCGCTTTCTGCTATTCAGCGAGGTGGCCGATTACTGGAATCAGCAACTGAGTAGCACCCAGGAGATACGCGAAGCTCTGGATTTGCTGCTGAAAAATGATCGCTTTGTGCACGATTACTCGTGTCTGCAGCAGGAGAACGAGATGCTCCGAGCTCAGGTGCAGCAATTGCTTAGCGAGCGCGAGAGCTCAGAAGCTGGTGATGCTTAAGCAATATTTTGGTTTTTAAAAATGTTCGTAAATTTGTAAATTAATGCTGCATTATTAATCATGTATATTATATAGATATATAGTTAGATTCACTTTTTGTATGCCAATTGTAGCTGTTGCTGCTGCTCCTGCTGCAGTTGCTCCGCCGCGCTCAGCTTGACGGGCATGTCCACCTGCAGTTTGATTTTGGAAGTGATTTTAAGCAACTTGAATAACTATTAGTGCACTCACCGATATGGTCGTATTGAAGTTCTCATAGTCGACAATATAACGCTCATGGCTGGCATCGTAGTGGATAATGTTGGCGAAACGCTGACCCCAGTAAATCTCGCGCGGCACATACGACGTCTTCGCCTCGGTCATTTGTGCCGTCGCCGGCGATGTGCCCACAATAGTTACATACAACTCAAATTGCCCGGCGTTAAACTGTTTGGCAGTGCCAAAGTGAAACAGCGGGCTGCTCTCATCGATCACATGGCAGACAATGTCTGGCCAGACAATTAACTGCTCCCCGTTGCCCTCCAGCTTCAGCTCCGTGTGCGTCTTAATGAGCTCGCCCTCGCGCGTGCTGCAAGGCCAAATTTTTTGATGTTTTTAAATTGTGGAGACAACAATTAGATGCTGGACGCATGACTCACTGTTTGTCCACAATCATGTAGACGCGTATCTTGGACTCAATGGACTGCTGCTCGCGCGGATCGCAGACACGAAAGAGCAGGCACAGCTTGCCATCGCGATAACAAATCTAGAAGAATATATATGTACATATGTGTGTATAGATAACTGATTGGGCGGCTGGGCTTACCACAGCCTTATCGCTGAACTTGAGCTTGGTCAATTGCTTGGCTGGACGAGCCGTCTTTGCATAGATAATGCTGACCATGGTGCCCTCGATGGCCGCCGCGCACATCATTTGCATGACGAATAGAAATATGGTTTCCGGGCACTCCTCGCTGGCGTATTTCTCGCCAAATCCGAGCGTTGTTTGCGTCTCAACCGAATATATCATCATGGCCACAAAATTGGGTGTACCATAAATGCAGGGATCCGTGCCCTCGCCCAAACGTTGGCCACTGACAGCATCGAACAGGAAATCGCCATGCGAATAGGCCACCATATAGCATAGGACACCAAAGAAGATCCAGCTAAGAAAGTAGCTGCCTAGAAAAAGTGTCAGCATATATTTCCATTCCAATTCGATCTGTGTGGGCGACAGTTGCATTTGAATATTACTATCGAGCTATCGAACTATCGATGTCGATAACGCCAGCTGTTAATTGTTATCGTTTTCGATTATGTATGAGAATTAGTTTGGCGCGCCCAAGTAAAATGTTTGTTACATGTTTTCTTTTTGGTTAATCATATTATATTATATTGTGTGAGTTTATTTGTTTAGTATATGCTAAATGCTAAATGTTACTTTGTCCCTTTCGCTATTATTTGGCTTGGGCACGTGCTTAATTTTCAGCTTTGCCGTCGGCGATTCGTTTGCCAATTCATCCAATTTGCGCTGTATACTGGGCGTTATGCTATAGATATTCGATCGCTCAGCTGTTGGCTGTGTCTTGGTTGCTTTCTGGCCGAACATGGACCTTACCAGTGTGGTGACCGCATCGCGCATATAGCGCCAGGACTTCTCCGGTATGCGCCTAAAGACAACATTCTCATGCCCATTCTTCTCCATCACACGATGCATGCTGCGCCGCAGCCCATCCGCATCGGTATCGGGGCTCAGCTCAATGGTGCTGCCCGACCAGTCGAGGGTATAGGGAAAGCTACAGCATTGGAATAAATTGGTATAAGTTTTTTTTAATTCAGTGCTGCTCGATGCTGAGATTTGACCCACTTTTGCTCACTGCGCGTCTCCAATTGATCGGCCGTCTGCTTGGACTTGCGTCGCCGCACACAACTGGGACTCTCCGGATAGTAGTCGACTTCGTTGTCATTGACAGTCTCCTTTTCGGGCGATCGTGCCAACGGCTTGGGATTCAACGGCCTTGGCTTCACAGGCATCGAGCTTGAGCGAATCATTTCTAGCTTTTCGGTGGCGTCCACTGAGCTCATTGTTCTGTTGCTGCCCACGCATAGACAGAAACTGAGATTTTTCTTTGTATAATTGCCGTTGCTCGTGTTCTCGTCGTCAGACTCAACGGAACAATTTCACTTGTCGCGTAGATTTGCGCTTTAATTTTTAATTGAATTAGATTGCAGTTCACGGAGCCGAAGCGCGCTCAAGTTGTTTGACTGACTGACCGAATGAAACTGACTCGCGTCTGGGTAGGGAATTAAAATAGTGAAATAGTGATACATTACGGAAGATGTGTATTTTAATATATTTATTATCTTCAAGTAGCGCCTGACTGTGTTTGTGCGCATCAGTACCCCGAGCAGATTAAATCGTCAAAAGTTACCTCCTTATTTAGTTTTTACTGATTATAATGCACATATTTATTCTTTCCGCAAATATTGCCATAGCTACGCCACAAACAGCGAATGTCAGTTAACAAGTTAATCTATTAAGATTTGTTTACACAATGTTGCTGATTTCTGCTATCAGCTAGGAAAACTTTGAATATTCGCGCGAACAAAAGAGCTGCCAATGAATGCAATCGAAATTCTATCGATAAATATTCTTTGACCAGTGCTTAAAAGTGTCATTTTAGTATACATATCGTATACTATTTATATTTAATGTTCTCGTTTATTGAAATTGCAAGTTTCAAAATATAATATTTCATTATCACAAAATTAGAATATTTAGAAATAAATTAAAATGGAATATGAACATTTTTTAAGTTTCTTTATAATAAGTCATTTCTCTTATCAACAATGTAGTGGTATTGCTTCAACATTTTAGGAGCACTTGCGGAAGGCCCTAAATGAAAAATTGATATATATCGCACTTATCGATATGTTTGTGGCCGCAGCTAACTTTAAGTTGTGGCAGTGTGTGTCAGTGACACAAACGAGGAGTATTTGGAACTCGTAGCACGCAAATGTCTCGTTGTTGTCGCTCGGCAAGTTTAAGTGTCTTTAAGGTTGAGATACGTCGTCGTTGCGTTAGTGAAATTGCTTAAATTGATGAAATCAACGCAGCCCAATTGAAGTGCACAGTAATTTAATTGTGTTTTCAGTGCAATCTATGAGAAAAATGTCGTGCGCGTTGCGTTAACAATATGAAAATAAATCGGAAAGTGTGAGAGCGAGAAAAGATAACTTAGTGCAAATGTTTGTGCGGCCAGCTAAACTGAATTATGCTTAAAATACAATTTATATAAATTGCCAACAAACCAAAAATTAATAAGTGCAACAATTACAATACAGAAAAATAGCAACAGCAGCGTTTAAACAGGTAAATAATTGGCTGCGATGACAATAAATTACACACACTGCACGCAGTTTATGTGGCAAATATTCAACAAAATGCCATTGATAAATTCAGTTTGTACACACACATACATATATACGAATATATATATATTTATAAATATGCTTTGATATAAGCAAGGGCATTGTCGGAAATATAAGTATCTATAATTTATGTATGTATTTAATATATAGTATATATGTATATTGGTGTCGCCGTTGCGTTATTTCGTTGTGCCCAAAAGAGATACGAAATTCCCAGAAACGCATTTTCTAATTTAGACCGATTTCTGAGAAGTGACAGACAGCCAAGCGAGCCGCCAACAACAGCAGCAGCTCAACGAGACCAACAACAATGCGCATACATACACATACACACATATACGTACATATGCTTGCTCTCGCGCTCACACAGAGCGACTTAGCAACAACAACAACACAATGGTAAAGGCAGTGTTTTGTTGGCAAAGGGAGAGCGGCAAGTTGGCGGCTGCTGATGTTGGCAGCTGCTGTTGCTGTGGCGGCTATTGAATGAAATGCTGTTGCTGCTGCTGCTGTTGCGGCTGCAAACATTTAACACCACAAGCCAAGCTGAAGCTGGCCTCACACACACACACATACACGCGCACGCTCAAGTATAGAGAAAGCGAGTCTTGACTCAATTCGCCTGAAGCCATACTTCATACACACTCGACGTCTGCAGCGGCAATATTTTTTTTCGACGTACCCTTCACAAGAAAAGGTGTTATTAACTTTGTTGTTGTCTGTAATGCACACACACACACACACCTATCTATACACACACACATTTTGGTTAATTCTTGTTAAAAGCGGGTTTTTGACCAGCTTCTTCCGCTCATTTCCTTGAAATTGTATTAAAACTTTTGAGTGCATTTCTGTGGGCTCTCTGGGGTTTTTAATAGCTTTTCATGTGAAATTGAAATTGTTTCCAACACAGCCAAAAAAAAAAAGGATAAGTGTAATTGGGGCGTTGGTTAATTGGCTTGTCTAGATGCGCCCGTGGGCCCAATGAGATCTTTACGGCCATGTTGCCATGGTGTCTGAACTTCGAAGCAAACAAAAAACGTTGAGCCCTTTTTCAATATATGTAGCACATTTATCGTGTTTGTTCATGCGCAGCAGGAAGTATTTTCAAGATAATTAAATATTTTCGAAAATGAAAAATATACTATATTGTTGTAATAAAATATGGCGAAGCATTGTATATTATGTACATATGTGAATTTTGATATTTTGTAGGCCTTTATTGCGAATATGGCTGCTTGTCACACTGTTTTGTGATATCATAATAGAGCTGCGCATAAACGCACGAAGATTGCTATTCCTCATCCCCCACCCCCTAGCCCTCTGCCCCTATTGGCTTACGCTCAGCTGCTGCTGCTGCCGTTGTGGCTATTTTTTGTTTCTTCTCCCCTCTTCCGTGTTTCTATTGTATTAGTATTTGTTATATGATTTACGTGCAGATTTCGTGGAAATCTAAAGTGATGTATGTATGTGTGTGTGTGTTGTTGTTGTTGTTTTTTCTTTCTTTCTTTTATTTTGCGCTCATTGTTAATTGTTCGCGTGAATTTTGTTCAATTGAAACGCAATGCCAAAAGTGAAATGTGGGCAAAACACTCAATTTTTGTTAGAGTGGAATTCATTATTGTTGTTTGTTTGTTTGTTTTTATGTTTTTATGTTTAGCTGCTCTTAATTGTATTTCATAGTAAATCATCAAGCTATATATGCATAGCTCTGGCAATAAGGTTATTGTTATATTTTTGAGAAACCGGTTGACTTTTGGTTGGGTTCAAGTTTTTTTTTTTAAACATGTTTTTGTTTTTATATGTATTTATTTATTTGTTTATTTGTTTTGAATCTCATCTGGGTCGCGTTGCCCGACTTTCATAGGTAGATGACGACCTAATCTATATTTGCCAGAGCCGTTGCCTAGTTACCAATTACCAGTTACACTTGGTCCCCACTTGGTTTCTTATGGCACACCCCCATTGACCCCCAACCAGGCGCAGACAGAAAGCTGTTGTTGTTGTTTTTGTCGTTGTTGTCTCTTACCAGTTTCAGTTCCAGTTCCACTATCTTAGCCACATGCTCATGCCCGTGTTGTTGTTGTTGGTGTTGTTGCCAGCTCTCTTGTCTCTGTCGTGTGCACATATTTGCCTTCAATTTCCATGGAAAACGAAGCGCTTTTGATTGTTCTCGGAATTGCCGTTTCCCAACTTTGCCAACGCTCTCCTGATAAGCGCGCTGTTCTACTATATTCACCTGAATACTATCAGACCTGACCGTTAAACACTGTAATTTTCGTGTGAATTGTGATAAGTAACATTAATTGCAATAGTAAATAACGCGAAAAGATCCAAAGTCAAAAGGTTGAGTGCGCGGCAAGTGTATTAAAATTGAAATCGGTATGTTGTAAGCTTTAAAAAATACAAAGATATAATATCTTTTGGTTTTTAGCAGTTTGCAAGCTACGATATGTTAAAGTACAAATATTCAAATACGCATCACTATGAACAGTTAAGTCTTAAATAAGCTGATTATTTTTTAGAGTAAACAACAATTCTGTATTGAATTATTGTTTCACGGGCTCGTCATTTTGTACTTAAATTTAGTAACAGTTACTCGTTACAGCTGAGATTAATCACGATTTGTATATGTATCCATAAACAAATATTCTTTTTTTGAATTTCTCATATAGGTCTGCCTACTTTATCTATATCTGTTTTATCGTCCTCTCCTCCATTGTTCAATAGTTGCCCAAGTCAATTCTGATTCTTGTAATTTTGTGCTTAAATTTAGTAACAGTTACTCGTTACAGCTGTCACGATTCTTTACATGCATTGCACATCTCTATTTGACACATTATTTACTCTGGTGGGCGGCTACACTCACAGACTTTACATTTTTCGTAGTAATTTATCAATGAAATATTGTGGAATACTTTGATTATCTTTACAGTTGCCTGGAACTGTTGCATGTGTGGGTAAAGCACACACATACAACGAATACATCAAGTACTATAATTTACGGGCTCTGATATTTTATTTATTTGTTTTTTTTTGCCTATCGGCTTCCGGTTGAAGGCAATCGTAATCGCTAAATTTATAAATTTAATCGGTGCTATTATATACGTATGTATATATACACAATATATATATATATATTTGTGGAACAAATAAAGAGCGCTGATTGTCGCGCTGTATTGTTCAGTTGACGTTTCTGGGCAACACGAGAAGGTAACTATACGAAATGTATTGCCTTATTTGGAAGTGTTTGCTTAATGCTTGATAATAGTGAAACCTACCTCAATAGGGGGTACAGGTAGGTGCTACTTATAGGAATCGTAATTCATTATGATAAATGCCTGCTATATGAAAGGTGCCAATGAGTCTCGTAAGAAATTCAAACTTTCTGAAGAGCTTTAGGAGTTCCTAGGGAACGTACTGAAACTGTGTTCAGCTATATCCTTAAAGGAGAGAAGCGGAGAAAGGAGTAAAGAGTTGTATAAATATATTTATTATAAATAGTCTTTAAGACTCTTGCAGTGGTTGTTCTTATTTTTTTAATTTGGAGAAATGTTATTAAGCCTATTTACATATTTATGTTTGTTCCTACTCAGATCGAGTCAATTACTAGCCTTAATATGTTCCCAACATATAATCTTATTAACCACGAACCACTGTATCGTAAAACGAAACCAAGAGAACAACTGACCGGAAGTCGAGTTTTGGTATGAAACATTGTGTACTTCATCTTCGGCACTTCGAAGATAATTTTTATGTATAGACATGCATATTGTTTATTATTACAAAAGTTTTTGATTAGAATTATTATATAGAAAGCATTCTCGTATTTGTATTAATCAGTTTAATGAGGCTGCGAAGTCAGCTGCTGAATATCAGATGTTAAAAAATGAGGCAGCAGAAAGAAAGGCGTTAATAAGATATTACATTATTATCTGATTACGCGAAATATATCTATTTCAGCTAATTAAAGTAGCCCAATATTTTATTTCACGCACAAAAAAAAGCAAAGTATTATTTGTAGATCATTTTTATTTGATGGGTTTTTCTACTTCTTTAAGCCCAGCTTAATGCTATTCTGTCGCATCTTCGAAGCTCTACGAATCTTTACAATTCTTCGTTTCTGTTAATTCCAATTCACCGTTAGACGCTTTTGCTCATAATTTGTATCTTAACATTAGCATACAAAATATGTACACAAAGATGTGTATCTGAAAGTTGCAAAATTTTCTGGGTGTGTGTGTCTTTCTCTGTATCTGTATCTAAACATGCCTAGGCCGAACCCAACTTTTGGGCAACCTTGACAAATGTCCGACGCACAGCCCGCAGCTGGACTAAAGTGTGGCAAATTAAGTTGAAATTTTGTTAGTGCTTTCGTTTAATCAGAAAGCAGCAACAACGCGCACACACACACGCTATAGGGACTGTATGTGTGTGTGTGTGCTGCGTACCTTTGAACAACTTCATGACTTCACCAGCATGTGAGTACCGTGTGCATACATATTTTCCAAGAATCGCTCATGTGCTGTGTGTTGGTTGTGTATTGTATTGTGGATTTATCATGAGAGCCTTTCAGCGGGGCGCGTTTCTACGAATTTTGCCACTTTTCACATTCATGTTAATATTATTATTGTGCGTCTTCTTCTTCTGCTTACTTATTACTATTATGATTATTATTTTGCTCGTACATATGTATGTATTGCCGTGCGTACCTTAATACCCATACGCCATTTTATTATCCACACATATTCACATAGATAATTTATCCCAGCTATGCGCTCTGAAATTGCCCAAAAATTCGCGATAAGAAATAAAAAAAAAATTAAAAAAAAACTAGAAATTTAAGTGAGCCACCCTAATGTAAATAAATTGCCATCATTACACTGAACACCCCTAGTGCAGCTATCGAGTTGTAAAGACGCTTGTTAAGCTTTAAAAAAA